CTTATTCTGTAAATTCATTGATTGGAATATGAATGCTAATGGAAGTATGAATATTTTCACAGGACAATGATATAAATGGAACTGTAAAACTTTTTTAAGTGTTACAGCGATATTTCGTTGGCCTCCGTATTAGCGCACTGCGCCGAAGCCGAACGCGGATAGCATGATGTAGTCGCAAGGGAGCAATTGAATCGAATAGACGTATTGTACCGTAGCGCATCGTATTGTATTTCAAACTTTTATATCATTATAATTTATATGTATACATGTACATTCCAATAAACATACGTCAGGTAATATAAGCTTCATTTCATCGAATTGTCTTAAATATAACTACATAAATATTGTACAATCTTATACTAATTATAGTTGTATGGTTCAACAGGTTAGTACAGAAACTAACTATTGCCTACGTCTTTTAAACTTGGGCTGTACTAGTATCTGCAGAAACTGCCATGGTTGCTGGGGTTACTATATAATTTGCTCACGGAAGCATGCACAAGTGTCAGTCAGATTTTGAAGTTGCGCGAGCAACGTTAGTGCTCTGCGCGTGCTCCGGGGGTTCTATGACCCCGCGATATCACACACGGGGTCTCTGGCACCTTCACAGGGGGCTCTGTGACCCCACGTTCTAACCATGCAGGTCAGTGGCGCCTCCACCTGGGGCTCTGTGACCCCACGTTCTAACCACGCGGAGTCTGTGGCGCCTCCACCGGGGGTTCTATTACCCCACGTTCTCACCACACGGGGTCTCTGGCGCCTCCTCGGGGGTTCTATAACCCCACGCCTCAACACACGGGGTATTTTACGTATACGTTATCAATTCATGTAATTTTTAGCATCTATACAAATATTATTATAAATATGTTGTCAGAACATCATCGTATCTCCTTGTAAGTAGATGTGTGCACTTTGTTAACTTTGTCATTTAGTTAAAAGAGAAACTGGATTTAAAGGAAGACGAGTAACTTTGACAGGAATATGTATGATACAATGTCCATTAAAAGAAAGCGACATGCTTATACTTAATTCTGTTTACAGAAGACAACAAAATGAGGCCTCAAACGAATGATTTATTGCTCAGAATATTAGTTCCTCTTGTATATCGTACTCAAACTCAGAAATATGGTATCATTTACTACTATCTGCACTATATAATTTCCATAACACTTTCCCTGTTTTGTGGTGAGTCTCAAATTCAGTTGTTCAAATTTGTATATTTATACGGTCCATGATATAAATTCTGTTTGATTAAGTACGGAATAATTTAACAGCTTCACAATGGATCAGAGATTCAAGGCTTTCAGATGGTAAGGTGTGTTCTTTTGGAAAGAACGCTGTACAATATTAAACTCCACATATTGATACAGTATTAAATAGCCTCAAATATAATAATTGTAGCAATCATTGACTTTATACCATGACGACATACGCTCTTGTTGAACACGAAATAGACCAATAAGAGATTGATCACATGACGGGGTAAGTGTATACCATTCCGTTTACATTTGGTCCATCTTTTAACTGAATATGAACGCTCCTGTACTACGGTAAGTGAGCTATAGTGGGGGCAGATGCTGTTCACTCTTAGCGTCTCAGGGAATCATCGTTATAGATACAGTGGCGAAAAAGAAGGTTCAATCTCGTGGGACCATGCGAAATCTCTCTGTAACAGCTGTGCCATTGGTAATTTTCAATAGGGATTCGCGTGAGAATCGTATTAAGTAGCGTGAAGTTATCATCGCATCGGTTTTCGATTCTCTCGTGTGTAGCTGGATCGAATTAAAATTCGTGGTCAGCGAAACGTAACTCTTGCATCACTGGAGGCACAGCAATAGCAGAAGACAGTGAAAAACCGTTGGTGCCCTGTAGCCGTTAAATGGAAGACTAACGTAACCTAGACTGATAGCGTCCTTATTGGAGTTATCGTGACCAGATCTGTTCCACTTCGAAGGTCTGCCGCTATTCAAAGAGTATTATGCAAAGTGTTGATACTTGCGAAAGGTAAGCGTTTTCGCAACGAAAACAGAACTTACGCTTCGCCCTGCCGTTTAATAAGTCACCCGATTGTTTGCATTATGTTTAACTCGATGCATCATAAAGTGCTGGCTCGCTCCAAATTAATGCGGCTTTTTAAAATGCACGTCAAACATATGAATAAAGAATCTTTTCCAGATGATCGATTAAGTATATATTTTCCTTTCATGTACACAACTATTCGCTACCTTTTCTTTAGTTTTACCATTCCCGATTTATAATATCTTCGTCCTAAGGTTTCAAAAAGGTCCTTAATTGTATTCTCGTTACACGTTACTCTTCTTACATCTGTATTCATTAGCTAGTTTTTATAGCAGTAAAGATACAAATTTGACAGATAATCTTCCAAACAATGAACAACTACTACCCAAAAATGTTTGATTACTTGTAATATTCACGATTTATAAGAAAAAACAATGCAATGTACAATGTGGTTTAGTATTTTTGATATAATATTTCCATTATTTTTTAGTTCAATATATTAATTGACAGTCTATGATAGCTCAGGAACTTATTTGCATTGTTTCCATTAGTGACAAGTAAACTTTGTTTCTCAATCAAATATGGGATTTTAAATTTCCAAGTGCATGTATTTTTAACATTTTTTATCAATCGTTTGCTTGTAGCTTCATTAACTGTTTCTGCTTTTTAATTAGTATCAATGAAAGAATTTTCTTCCTTCCAGAATATAAAGTAGTTTCATAAGAAAATATAGTGTTAAGAATGGATCCTGCAACAGCCATAGCACGTTCTAAGGAGAACATTCAACCATTGCGTTATGGTCGAAATGCTACACAACTAGGAACTGCATTAAGAGCACAAGAGGATGCAGATGCTCAGCAGTTACTCTTACAAGAGAAGCAGTATGTGGACTGAAAATTCTTATTGTCTGTGCAGTTTTGAAATTATGGCCTTTAATTAATTTTTATATGTTTACATCTTCAGAATGTATGAAGCTGCGATTAAAAATTATGAGGGAGATGATCCTTTGGAAAATTGGTACGAGTATATACTGTGGGTAGAGCAAAGTTATCCAAAAAGTGGACACGAGTCCCATATTGGTAAACTTTTGCAACAATGCTTAGCTATGTTTGAGAAGGAGGTCAAGTATCATCAAGATCGTAGATATATACGTCTTTGGATTAATTATGTAAGTATTTTTAGAGTTATTTCTCATTATATGAGCAGAAAACAAAATTAATAGAAATTTTCCTTACAGATTAGCATGCAGAAAAATCCATTAGAGCTGTATCAACTTTTATATAACAATGGAATTGGGACTATGGTTGCAGATATGTACAGGGCATGGGCTTTTGAATTAGAACAGATAGAAGATTATAAACGTGCCGATAAGGTTTATTTAATGGGTCTGTCTGCCAAAGCAGAACCTCAAGATGAATTGGATTATGCTCACAAGTATAAATCACAGAGTATATACGCTTAAGTAAATTTTTTCATTGCTATCCAGGTGTATTTTCTTTTCAGGAATTTTCAATTAGCAGTTGCCCGTATAACATTGGGTCACACCGACGATCGTAATGAAAGGTCACTACTCGAGCAACGTCAGGCTTTTAGTTCTTTAAGAGCAATAAAAGCTGGAAGAAAAGTTGGCAGCGTACGCATAGGGCATCGTGTACGCGAACATTATCCCGGTATTGTTCCACAAATTCCATCAGTGATGCATAATCCAAATTCTAGGATACCTATATATCAGGTACGAAAAGACCGGAAAATATTAAAGAGACAAGCGTGAACATTGAGGTATTTTTAACAGGATGATGTTCCTGGTGATATGAAGAGTACTAGTATACTAGACCATGTTCCAGTAGAAGATACAATTCATAAAGAAAACACTATTAAACCTGGTCCATGGAATGGTAATGGAAACAAACGGTGTCCACTAATAACGTCTGTCACAAAATCCTCTTTCAAAGGTGCAACTATACTTCTATAAAAAGTAGTGTTAACTTGCGATATGCAAACTATACATGACCTTATTCATTGTCATTTAAATAACAGTTCATGAGGATCAGCTCGATGAATTTGACGGAGGCAAATTACGATTATTCCCGAACCATACATATTTTTTCGACGGCAGTAAATATCCCGAGTATTTAACAGTGCCTGTATTTGTACCCGATGCTCCGAATCCAAATATTATATTAAGACCGCATTATCCAAAAGATTTAGTGTACGCTAATACTATGGATATAAGCATGGAGGAAGTTAGGGCTCAACGGTATCTGCAAAGGTAACGATCATTTTTTTTTCGATGATCACTAAAGTAGCGAATGCATTTTTATAATAAGAAGCGTAAAATTCTGATTAAATTTTAGAGCACAAGCTGTGGAGAAGAGAAATGAAACGCATGATATAAGAGAAACTGAACAGCAAGTCCATCACAACAGCTACGAGGCCGAGCAACAGAGACATAATATCTCTTTACAGGAGATGCTAAGACAAAGACAAGAGCTATCAGAGAGACACAAAAAGCTGCAACAGCAACAAAGAGAAGCCGAACAGTTCGAACTGGATAGGCAAAGGCTTCAGGCCGAGCAAGAAAGACTTCAGATACAGCAGTACGAAGCTGAAAATCTGGCGTTAGAGAACCAAAGGCGCGAGGCAGAACAACGAGAGCTAGAAAGACTGGAAGTTGAACGAATGGAGGCAGAAAGACTCGAAGCGGAGAGGCTTGAGGCACAGAGAATAGAAGCGGAATTGAATTCGCAGCATAAATTGCAAGCTTCCAGTTTCATGCATCACCATCACACGTCGTCCTTAAGTACCGAACCTGAGGAACACTTGCTCGGACAAAGCCTTACAGTGAACACAAAGGAAGCAGTGTCCGCCGTGCAGGACATGTGGCGTTCACCTGACACAGGACCTGCAGGTCTCAGTTTTCGTAGTACCATGACACCTAGAATTCCTGACTCGAAACTTTTAAAATTGGGTTTCGACATACATATGGATAGCTCTATGACTCAGCATGCGATGTCTAGTAGTAAGCACCATTCAGGATACAACGTGCAACCATATAATGATCAAGAGAACCATCAAAACTATTCCGTTCATCAGAGTTACTCCAATCAGGAACATCAGACCTCTTACAGTTCTGCACTACACAACACGTACCAGTATCAAATGCAGGTACAATACGAAAAACATGTATTGTGAAGTCTCGAAGGGTGATCCACGAGAAGCCGAAACATATCTGCTTGGATATAAAGTTATGAAAGTATGTTTTGGTACAGAATTGCACTGTTTGATGGCCGTAGTGCGTTGACAGAGAATTCATTTTTTGTCGAAGCCATTTTTCAAAGATAACAAGGCCATCGTTGAATTTGTTCTTTCATGAGCTATAACACTATGGCATTCGAAATATATGAACCCATTAAAAAAAACATCGATGACCTTGTTATCTCTGAAAAATAGCTTCGAAAAAAAAGAAATGAATGTCCTGTCAACGCATTGCACCCATCAAATGATGCAACTCTGTACCGAAACATACTTTCATAACCTTATATCCAAGGCAGATATTTAGGTGTTCGGCTTTTGGTGGATCACCTTGTATACTAATTTCACAAATGATTATTTACAGCAACATCATGAGCAGCGAGTACAACCATCCCATTCCCGGTCGCACCATTCGCAGCATCATCAGCAGCTAATGCAAACACATCAGCAGGCCCATGTGATGGCGCACCATCAGTCCCTTTCTCATCCTTCGCATTTGCAAAGTCACAGTCAGATTCAACACCATCAGACACATCATCAGCCGCATCAAGCATCGCCTAATCAGCATCTTCATCATCAATCGCATCAACACATGCAACATATGCAGCACGCTGTATACGGCAGTATGACACCGAACGATATCCCGTATCAACAGTATCCCACGCAGTTGGACTCCCCGTTGCTGCAGCAAAACGTGGAACCTCCGAAACAACTTCATTATTCTCCGTATCACGAACCGGACATCGAAACCAGCAAACCGTACAGAATGCCTCCTGAGTTACCGTACATTAAATCCCCAGGCATGAATCGTAGAGACATCAAATACCTCGAAGGTGCGGAAGACAAGGAAAATGCTATAGTAGTCGACTATAACGGGCCGATGGAAGACAACATGACATCTAAACCGGCCGAAGAAAACAATCTCTATATTGACGAAAGCCTTGGTATTAGTCCGTTATCCGGCAACAATGACACATGTTTTACCGAGGCATTTAATACGCAACTGACTAGCTCTACACCTATGACTAATCATTTTAAACAATCCTACAAAGGAGTTGAAGGAGCGCCGCAATATTCGAACCAATGCACAGGACCTCAACCGTGTGTAACATTTTCATTTTCTCACAGTAATTATTATGGATTCCCCACGACGAATATTTTTAGTTTTATTTGCCATTTGATTTTGCAGGAATTCAGAGGCGCCGAACGGTGAAGGCGAGGAGAAATTGAGCGTTATATTAGAGTCGACTAGGGAATATATTTCAAGCAGTTCTGGTAGCAGCGCCCATACAAGAACCGCGGCTGCGTTAGGGTTCACATTGACGAAGGAAGATTTGGTTCCTATAAAAGAACAAGGTAGTTTAATCGAATGCTTTTTTGAAATCCTATGTTTCCTGCAATACGAATTAGTCGATGCACTACTAAAACACATCGTTCCTATGTGATAAGGTGAAAGCGAAGAAGGTGCAGATGTTCCGCTGTTTGCAAGTCAACCGTACGAGCCCAAGATGCAAGCTCAGATTCAAGCTGTGCACGCTCAAAGCCCTCGTACGGTGCAACGTAACGTGGATCAAATTACGTCTGAAATTAAGAAGAATTGCGATCTACGAAAGTCGATTAATTTTAAACTGAACGAGATCGAGGAACAAGAGAAGGTCGATACGATGGAGTGCGAGGAACATCTTGAACCTATGGAACAAGCCGAAGAGGAAGTCTTTGAGTTCCCATCGGGAGATATAAATCCATTTGACAAAATTTTAATAGCTGGTCTTTTAAAGAAAATTAAATTCCCCCAACCCCATCACGCAGAAGGATACGTGAGATTAGATACGAATTTAAATAAGTTTGTGCCTTCTACTATGGTTATGCTTGGTCAGTGTAGTTTTATGTAATAACATATTGTAAATATAAACGATCGTTTTATGTCTATTTGGTATCTAATACTTTTGTTCGATTAATATATACAGGTAATGAAGCGTACGATTTGGAAAAGTGCCTTGGAAAGGGAATGTATGGTACAGTATTCAAAGCAGTTAATCTGCAAACAGGTCAGACGGTTGCACTGAAAACTCAAAAGCCTGCTTGGATTTGGGAATTTTATATCACTAGAGAAATAAAGGCTCGTCTGACCAATCCACACGTGGTACTTTATGCATTACTATACTGTAACTGATCGACTATTAATGTCAATATGATAATGTTTATGTCAAATCAGTTGACTACTCGAGTGGTTAGATCATTTCATGTTGACGGCAGTGCGCGTATATATAATATTAATTATAATCAATAGCGTATTAACGCGTGCATTTTGGTTTCAGTTACGTGGATTCATGGACGTCTCGATGGCATATGTTGCAAATAACAGCAGTGTACTAGTCTCGGAGTATTCGAAATTTGGAACATTGTTAGCGGTAACGAATCAGATAAAGATTGCCACGGGTAAACCATTGGTGGAGCACTTAGCTATATTCTTTACAATCGAAATGTTACAAATTGTAGAGTACTTACATAAATGCCAAATAATTCACGGAGATATTAAACCAGATAATTTTCTATTGATGCGTCTGTATGTATTCGTTATTATATCGTATACTGGTACCGTTTGATTGGTTACAAGTATATAAATATATTAATTTATAGACCTACGGAAGATGTAAGGCCAACAATACAGCTAATAGATTTCGGGTGTAGCATAGATATGAGTCTGTTGCCAGAGAAAACAACATTCACTCAAGTCATAAAAACAGAAGACTTTACGTGCATTGAAATGCAAACTGGTAGACCATGGACTTACCAGACAGATTTGTATTGTTTAGCCGCGACGAGTCATTGTTTGCTATTTGGTAACTATATGAGAGTATCGAATGTTGGCGGCCGTTGGTTCATTACCTCGAAAATACCAAGGTATGTATAATTGATTCGAATCATTTGATAATATTGACGAAGTCACGAAGACGCGGTAATAGTTTATTTAAAAATTATTAAAATATATCCAGGTATATGAAGAAACCTGCGTGGGAGCAATTTTTCACAGAATTATTGAACATTGAGTCGTGCGAGAAAATGCCAGATTTATCGAAATTGCGTAACATGATGGAGGAATCGTTAGCGCAAATGCCGGACGTGCAGCAAAAAATTAGAAATTTTGTCAATATTTTGAACAAACGATAACACTTACTGAACGTGCTGTATCGAATGTTATGTCCCAATGTGTGCACATATTTAGCAAAGAACCTGGAAGGGGAGAAAACCAGAAGGAGAATTAATATTATTATGCTATTTATTATAAAAGTTAATACTACAGTGATATATGTACTACACAGTTAATAATACATGAAATGCACTTTATGGCCTGCTTCGTGGAGGCTTTAATGAACTATATTTGCTTGCACATAATCAATTCTACTAGGAATACCGAACATTTGATTCCATTATAAAAGATAAAGAGAATAAAAAACCAGAGATAAAAGTGGAAAACTTTTATATTAATGACATTTTGTGCGCCATAAGTTATAAAAACGTCTTTCAAGATACCTCGTGACACAGTACCTGGATGTTAGCATCTGTCACGTAAAATATGTAAAGGCAGATTTGTATAATAGAGTTGAGTAAAAGAACAAGATTACAAGAACATGAAATATGTAAAAAAAAATATTTATAATACAATGCGCGTGTGATAAATGCGGACTGTTTATCTATGTATGTAGTGTTTATATCGTATATAGAAAATAAAACTTTTGTTTTACGGATATTCAAATTTTTTACGCGCACATACATTTTAACGTGATCTATTGAAAAAATTTAATTACAGTCAGATGTTTCATAGAGATAATAAAATAAAAAAGATTTCAACGCTGATATTTTGTTTTAGGTGAATTTTTTTAGAATTACGTTAAACTGTCAACACAATACATTCGTGCGGAATATGACATTGAAGAAGTGAAACTTTGGTTTAATGTAACTTCTTGCGTTAAATGTGCAGGCTTATTCGCCAGTATCCACTAAACAGGCCTTTATGTAGTATATTTTATAAAAATAGAAATCTATTGTATTAAAATATGCAAATGATAGAAACCTCGGATTTGTGTTCAGACTATTCGATTTTAAATTTTATAAAATGCACAAGAACACTAGGTTGTCCAGTATTAAAATAGTAATATAAGTTATATGTATAGCATGACAAACGTAGAAATAATAATGGACAGTCTATTGTTCTCGGTTAGGAATTTCTCAGAATATGCCTTAGCTTATTTTGACGGTGCAACATAAAAATGTTTACATTCTAATAAGATTTTATATTACATACACTTATTCGCCGCGCCCTCTACTAAAATGAGCGACAGAAGAAATGAAGTATGATACACGGCTGAAATTAAGTTTAATTATACATATGAAAAAAAAAAGATTAAACAAGAAAAAATGTTCTTTCAATAATAGGTGACATTTACTATCATTAGTTTACTTATTTTTATAAAGATTAGAAAAATATATTTCACATTTAAAGTATTCGATCGCATACGAAATTGTTTTTGCTTCATCGACTTTGTTGCGCATTGTCGTTAAGTTTAATTTACAACCAACGTTCGCGTTACAATATAAAATCCAAACAGCTGAGTCATCATAGATCAGTGTCCATACTCTACACTCTACATGATGTTGTAACTTCGACAATTAAAAAAAATCTGTATACCTTGCACTGTTATACACTATAGCGACATATTGCAATGTCACGTACATACATACATACAAAGGACACTTGTATTAAAAACATTAAATTGCTATAAGTACAATTATTTACAAAAGTTGATCATCTGCTAAAAGTTACTATGCGAACAATGTGAAGCAGATTTTATAATTCTCGGTAACTCCAAAACATTTGGAGTTCGGTGTACTTTAGTTAAAACAAAAAAAATAGAAAAGATCGTAATCACAATACAACATTGCACAAGCGCGCAGAACTCATACTCATAAATAATACACAATTTAATTCTGTCCCCTCAAGTTTTACCGTAAAACTTTCGATTCAATAAATATAACAACAAGTTCACGTTAACCTTTGCTTTACCGAACATGTCCATAATCGGTGCTCCTTCAAATTGCAGTTCGAGCAACTTCTGTATGTCGATGTCAACTTTCTCCATTTCTACACCCATAAACTTGCAACGAACGTTGAAAAGGCCGCTGTGTTCCGTCGGGCTTATTTCAAAGATTACATTTTTAAACTGCGATTGCGGCAGTCCGTCGACTTCCAGTAGCACACCTTTTTCCTGTAACTTTGCGGCCGAATATTTTAACGTCATCTTAGATCTCAATTTTCCGTGACTATTTTTCTGGATTGCTTTAAACGCTCGTAAAGACCTGAAAGCAATTTTTATCCGTTGTTAATAAGAACCCCGTATACAGAGTGCTGCATTATACACGGTTATAATTCGAACAAACACGTACCCCTTTCCTGTGTGTAAATTCTCTAAACATCGTTGTATATATTCGTTATAATATTCGACTTGTTCTTGATAATACTTGCTTTTCTCTTCTAATCTCTGTTTAGTTACGCGCAAGGTCTGCAACTCTTTATTTCGGATGATCCGATACTTCCCTTTGTTACAAAGATCCTTGGCCACTGCGGTGATGATATTCTGATATCCGTCTGTTTGGCTAACCCACCCTCCAAGTTCCAGTTTATTAAGATACGCGCGTAGCTGAAGCTTGCAATCATTCAAGGACGAGCTAGAAAAATGTATACTTACTTCATTCGATTTTTATTTCGTAACATTTCTTTTTTTAGTTCGGGCATTATTTACCTTTTATGGATAATGTTCAATGTGGGCGATATGCTGGAGCATTTTACGTCGTACAATTTCTCTTGTACAGGCGAACAAGATGTTTCCAAAGCTTCCACTAATGTTTGACCTTTTAAGAATTGAAGTACGGAAACCAGTAACTCTTTGGTCTTTATGAAAAGTTTGTTCAAGTTGGCGTCTTCGTCCTCCGGAACTTGGAATTTATTGGTGAGTACCAGGCACACTTCTGTTTTCCCAAAACGCGTCAAGTTCGTCTCGGACGTGTTGTCAGCTAATATTTAAAATTACATTATATATTATTATATATATATATATACATGCTATTTTAGTCGACTATAACATGTGTATGACGATGTAAGAATATATAAATCCTTACAGATTCCAAGTAAAGATGCTACAGTTGGTGCAGGACCTAAATCATCTAGTAAATCATGTAGAGGATCCATCGGGTCTGGTGCTATTGGATCTTGATACTCCAACATGAGACAGTGAGTATCACAAATTTCCTGTAATTTATATAAACTTATCCTACAATCTTTGCTTTATACATAAACTAGTATAGAAGGTAACTCAGCCAATCTGTACATATGTATATCATTCTGTATACGACTTCACTTACTTGTAATGAAATATAAATCTCAGGCTTCTCAATAAGGGTAGCTTCAGTGTATTCGTGAATGCAAAAGTGTTCCTCCAAGTCTTCGATTTGACAACAGTACCGAAAGAACCTTTTGAACTTTTCATGGCACTCAATTATGAATGAATTCAAGCAGACCAGGTGTGTGGCTTCCTCTCCGAACTAAAGGAATTTGTATAAAACACTTTTCTTTTCTTCTGTTTACCAAAACATAATTATTAGAATTATATAGTTACCCCTTTCTTGGAAGCTGCAAATTGTAATATTTTCGCGATGCTAGCTAGATTTCTTCGTTGATCGTTTGACAATGATCGATCAATGGGTAACGTGATTATGTCGAAAGCATCCGGCGCCACAATGGCTGCATTGATGAAATGATAATAAATCAAATTTCCTACTACTTTCAATATGTCTTTTTCCGGGGCAGTTGGGAATTTTTCAGTTAAGGAATCGTTCAAAACCTTAGACATGTACAACATCCCGTACGGTATTAAATCTCTGGATTCAGTGATTTTATTTAAGAACTCTAAAACCGTCATTTGCAACAATTGTATTCCTCTATTCAGTCTTATTCGTACTTGCTCGTAATTTAAAGCTTGTTGTTGTGTTACCGTGTATGGAAGATTTCTATAAAAAAAATTATTATATTTAAATAAAAGGCTGCACAACTTGCATTTGTTCAGCTTACAGTGTTTCCCCGGTCTCCATTTCTAATTGATTTCTCCAGCATTTGTAAATGTCAACAGGATTTGTCTCTATACTCAATGCTCGATCGGCCAAAATTTTTTCAATAATTGGACCCACGATTTGTCTCAAAGCCCTCTGACCATTCAATTGTCGAGCATAGTTTACTACCATCTTCAGGACGAGAGGATTACCGGTTACAACTTCTGATGGTTTTTGAAATTTCGACCTACATATTTAATCTTATTATCCTCTATCTGTGTTTGACTGTATTACATTTTTTATAAGGCAGAAGTTATACCTAATTTCTTCTTGTAAAGCACTCCCGAACAGTTTTAATAGTAAATATTCCTCCCTCATATTTGATCCAAAATTAAACAGTGTTAAGATTACGTTCTGAAGAAACTTGTTCGTTTTACTTTGTGGCAAAAGAAACAACAGCTTTGACAAATATACCGGATTAGTTTGTAAAGCGTAAAACAAATGTTGATATCCTTCCAACATTTTCCGACCCTCTTTCGTCAATGACTTCAGACCCTTGTGCGATATAATTCCATCGGTCAAACTATTCTTTTGTTCTCTATTGGAATTTTTCTGCTTTGCTAGAGTCTCTAAACTTTTTCCGTGTGCTACAACATCCTGAAAATGTATTGATACAGTCGTTAGATTATATTTTTAACAATTGCTGTATTCAACATTTATCAAAAGATTACTTGTAATGTAATTCTATTTTGGATAAGCAGTCCGATTTTTATGTCCATACTATCTAATTGCTGCGACAAAACTTGATTGTGTCTAATAGTTTTCACCACTTCATGCTTCAAGTGCTGCAACAATAATAATAGTTACGATGAGAAATAATCATCAAACCAATACTTAAATGTTTGGCATTGCATCATACTTGTAGCTGCAAATCTCTGTCATAATCTTCAGCGTTAAAATTCAAAATTGCTGAAAAATGTCGAACAACGGAAAAAGGTGGTTTATCCATGTGTAAAAGCGAACGGAAAGCTCGTCTTTCTGCACGACCACGCCACAGAGCTTGTATTTTCACAATTGCTTTCTCCTAAAATATACACAACATTTAGTGCATCAACAGACAAGTTATTTTTCAGACAAGAATTGACATATATACTTTACATGTTCCCTATAATGACACAATATATCTTCAAACTTGGCTTTAACTTTCAAGTACTTATTTTGATATTTTTCTACATCGTGTTTTCGTTTTTCCTCCAGCGCTTGAATATATTTTTTCCGTTGAACTACACTCCTCCACCACGATTGTATTTTCACAATTTTATCCGCATTGTCGTAAAAATATGTAAACCTATCAGATACTCGTTTACGTAGCAAGTAACCCCGAATAGAAGCTTGCAATCGAATTATCTGTTTATTTATCTTGTGCATCTCGTGTTCTTTCACAGTACTATTCTTTACTATTCTCTGCAAATAATCATACATGTCTTGTTGTTTAGGATCCTTTTGCAAACTTTAATCATAGTCTACCTTTATGTCGTCCATATTGATGTAGTATGTGTCTGATATGTTTTTGGGACAATCCCATGTATAATTATATTTATGTAAGTCCAAGTATGTTTCGTTGCCTTTAGGAGTAACAAAGCGAACAAGCGCGCAATTGTGCTTCTCATTCTGTAACGTATTAAATAGACTGTCGTACTAAATTAAGTATTCGATGTACGGTTTGTTAGAAAATTATACCTTGATTTGTCTCAAGTGGCACAGATTTTCAAAACATTCTGTCTTATATTTCTCTGGTATTTTGAAACCAAATGTCTGAAGGCAATCAATTGTGAACATCATATCATTTCTCTGCAAGCCTAAATTTACTTGTGATAAAAATGTGCACGCTATAAGGAGAGGAAATGCATTAGCAAATTACAGGACCCTCGAAAAATATTAATAAGATGCATTTAGGGGGTGTACCATTCTGAACGGTTTCAGCTTCCGCAGCAACGATTTTCGTTATAGTTTCTACATCATCCAGCCATAATTCGGAACCGTCGAAATGCTTTTCGGCAAGACACTTTTTAAATAATTTTAAGTAAAGAGATGCATCGTCCGGTGATGTTGGCTTCTGTAATTTTAGAGCCGTATCTTTTAAAGCAGTTATAATACCGTTTCGATCATTTTCCACAACAGCTGAATTTAATTGGCGCAGCACTTGTATCACTATAAACAGAATAAATGTGCCAAATATACGATAGAATATTCGTAGGAGAAATTACGTGAAAAAATTTATGTAATGTACCATCACTGTCATTTTGGCATTGCTGATTCACAACGTCAATGCACTCCTGAATGTCAATATATGTCAGTAAAGGACATTCTTCGGAAATTGCCTGCTTTTCACATCGAACCGCTGCTAGTGCTCTATAATATTTTACTTTATTCTCATGATCCAGACCCTAAGATGTGATTTATATAAATATAATTTCTTATTACGATGCATAGAAGGCATGATCATACATACAGAGACGTGACAATCCGGGTTCGATAATGCTTGATAAACCAAATCTGGATTTCCGGTGTCTACAGCTTTGCTAATATGTGCAATCAACGACAATACGCGCACGCTAACTACTATATCGCTGAATGAAAGGTCATTCTATTAAAAACATATTATCTACATTAATGGTGGCTTATGATAGATAGTGTAATTTTTATAGAGTATCTTTACCTGTGATTCCGTACGGTCCACTTTCATTTCTTCATAATACAACGGCATTGCAAATTCATCAATTCTATCTGATAATCCCAATTCCGGATTTCTGAGAGCATTGTAAAATTCATTTTTCACACCAGTTTGTAGTGTTAGATTCAAATGCTTAACACTTTCATTGCCTGTGTTAACAGAAATAGTGTATAACTCATAAAAATTGTACAGGTTTAATAAAAGATACTAACGTTTATAAGATTTCATTCCAGCATCATTTGCTTTATCGATTCCTCTCTGGAGCAGCTGTTTCCAGTGATGTCGACTTTCCGAGTACACATTATTCCATTCAGAGCTTTCTAGTAATTTCATTAGCTGTTCTTTATATAATTCTGCATTCTCAGGAGTGACATTCTAATAGAAAAGAAAATAATATTTGTAAATAATGTTGCAAAAGGATAGACTGGTAGAAATAATGACATGAAGTGTACTTGTAAGCATAGCATTGGTGTTTTTAATGCATCCAAAAACTCGTTGTTTTTACCATGAATAAAGCGTGTTACGTTTTTCACTGCACATTGAACTAAAAAAAAGTATTCGTAGATAAAGAATAAAAAATGTTTGTACACATTAATAGGTGGTGTGTAATAGCTTACCATTAACAAAATTAATGTGTCCTTGAATCTCAGCTTGAGTTAAAAGTTCATCATATACATCTGGTACATAACTATCATTGAGGGACTGTGGAAAAGATATTTATTATTAAATGAATAAACATCCATGTTTATTTTTAATTAATTTATACCTACTCTATTAAGAGCAGCCTGTGCCTTAGAATCTTTAGCTTCCAGTAAAGAAACACTATATTCTCTGATGTAGCAAGGCATAACATTGTTTAAATGTACTACTCTATTCTGTAGTGCAGTTAATACTCTGTTATAATCCTGAAAAAGTAATAGTTACTCTCATTTTAATTGCTACTTCAGCTGATTTGAAAACATAAATAATAAATATACTTTTTCTGTAATCGCTTGGTTGATTGCTATAACTGCAGCATGAAGGGTTGCAGTATCGATCTGCATGCTATTTGCCAAGAGACCCCCAATTTTTTGAAAGGATGGCATTTGTATTCCATATTTTTTTAATTCTCTACTGACAGTATTTATTTCCTCCTCTGAAAACATGAAATAACACAATGTCAAACATAATTAATCTTAAGATGTGCATTTTTATATAATAATGACACATGTACCTGTAAAATTCACTTTCCCGTATAAGTCTTGAATCTGTGGAGCCTTTCCCAATTTGAACAAATGAGTACTGAGAGCATGAATACAATATATAACACGTGGCATATTTTTTTTGTCATAGATATCTGTTGTCTCTGGTTGAAATGTCTGTTAAAAGAATATTTTTATTATTCAAAACAGTTGTAAACAGTCATAATATTCAATATCTCTCACTGAATCATATTGCTACTAGGACAGATATACATATTGCAATGTCTCTTATATTATAAAAGTTCATGATTATTTCAAACAGTTAACAATACTAGTAACAACATAAATCACTGAAAGGTAGTGCATTAATTATTATTAACAAGGTGCATACTAATGGCAATTCCATAGACTTCAGAGATTTTAAAAAGTGATTAATATTATCTGTATGACGAAACTGCAAACCAACTACTGCGTATCGTTTTTGTTCAGAGTCATAGATTTTGTTGAATGGTAGAGTCTCAGGAGCCATGAAATGGGCAAGTTTTGCCAAGTATATTCCATTCCGTAAATTCTCTTCCAGTTCAGTGGTGGGTGGTAGAGTTTCCCTCAAACAAGCTTCCATCCATCTACAAAAATAAAGTAGAATTTTCAGAAACAGATAGCAATTTCCTGTCAATACTTTATTGAACACTTTACTTTTTCGCTTCTTCTAAATGACAGAGATACTCGTATGCGAGTGTCTTTTGCCGTTGTTCGTCCATTTCTTCCGCTGATTTACGAGGATCTGTAATACGAAACGTATTTTTATTCATTAAAATTAATTACTCTCAAATTGAAACTGCGGACTTTTTCGCGACCCATCGGCAAATTAATTTTAACAGTTATTTTTCCAACCCACTGTTAGAAGCTAGCATCTGCTCTGATAGTTGATCTTACCTTTTTCATGATTAATCAATTTGTCGTCAATATTAATCATATTCGGAAGAGGAAGAAATATCATCAACGAAGGGAAAAGTGACACCCATACGTGATAATGGGGCGATACGTTAAATCCGACGAACTTAAACTTATTCAAAATAGGAGAGAAGATGCAACACTGGTCAGTAGTACCAACCGAAATATGTCTCGTTCTCGAATAGGGTTGGACGAAATATTACCGGAAACATTTCATTGGTTATTTAATCGTACATTTAAAAAACATTACGCAGTTAACTTCATATTCTACCTCTATCCAATTTCCCGCGATTCTATAAAACCGATGTTTACTAACAACGCAGAACATGCAAACGAATTTGCATAATGGTAAATGAAAGTCATAGTAACGTTTTTTTATCCTCATATAATCCAAAGTCAAGGACAAATTCCTCGTAAATATGAACTGTGTTCTTTTATTTTCTAAATTGTATTTAGCATATGAGAAAAACCGGTTAATTAACCTTCAAATAACAATGCATAATCAAGAGTTTCAGTAACTTGTGTGGTTTCTGATAACTACTTTAATCTAACAACTATTTAGCTATTAATTATTATGTCTTGCATTTTAATAATTAATGTCTACCAAAATGTTTCGAATTTGTCCTTACATTTTCAAAATTCCTTTTCTAATAAATGGTTGTTTAAACAGTATAGTGACATACTCTAGTGAAATGAATTTGATATTAATTGGCTAATAGCTTCAATGATTTATCATAGATTGCGCCACGAGTTTTTTTTCATCTCATTCGATGATATACAAAAATAATATAATGGTGCTATCTTATGGCAAGGATGAGGTACTAAATAAGCTTGGGCGTTTTGCCGTATATGATGCCATCGGTTTTGTTCAATTGCATTTAACATTGCACGCATAACAAATTTAAATACCAACTGAAAACGCGACAAATGACCATTGTTGGTAAACAAAATTCTTGGGAATACAACGAACAATTAGACGTACATATGTTTCGCCAGGAGCAAACATTTATTGTACGATAAAACAAAATATGCTTCTATCGTTGACAAATAATTTAACACTAGAACTACCAAGCAAGTCAAAACGACGTGTCAATACACTCTTACAACGAAGATTAAAATGTTATGACAATACATTTTCTCAGATCTTGTGCACCTTTTATTACGATATGAAAGTGAAGAAATTAGTCAATTTCTAAATTTTCAAAAGTTTTTCTTATTTATCCACCGATCGAAGCAAATATGCATTTATCGTTGGTAATTCTAGTGTTAAAGATGAATTCGCAATAGATTCACTTTTTCGGCCCGGATTTATTTACGTGTGTTGACTCTGTTTTTTCATTAAGCAAATGTCCGCGTAGCGTGCACGTTAACGGCAGTGAAGTGGTACAGAATTAAGGGGCGACTAAGGAGGAAACAACGCAAGAAGTAGAGGGGGGATCAGACGGGGGCCAGATAAAGCGGTTGACCCTCGCCCCTTCAATGACCCGCGAGATATCGTTCCACTAAATTCACTGACGCGCCTACCCAGTCGAATGCGTGGCTTGATTTACCGCAGGGCACATCGATAGCTATTTCTCAGTGGTCTCTCGACGCTCTCGTGGTTCCTCCTGCGTCAAAGCCGAAAATGCAACTGTTAAAGTCTTTGCCGATACTGTTCAGCTGCATCCTCGCCTGCCGGTGCGACAACCTCTCGGTGGAACCTCTCGGTAAGTCGTGCAACATTCCACGGAACTGTAACTGCCTTTTTGTCTCTCATTAAAGAATTTACGAAATGGCATCGGTCAACGATGACACAAATCGATCGTTCTAGCGAACGATTTACTCTATCCTTGCACAATCCAGATTCAAGTTCAAAGATCGCTTCCTCGTAAATACGAAGTTAGCATGCTTCTTCATTTTTTAAACGTGAATCTCGACGTATATGGAAAGACGATCAATTTAACACTAACAACAGCGATATCTGGCTCGATTTTTGCCCAAATCAAAACTTCGTGCAATTCGCCAACTTGCAATTACTAAAACAGACAGGCAGTTCTCGAAGAAATATGATACATTACAAGATACAGTTAGAAAACAAAAAGATACACAAGGATTCAATCAGACCCAGGTACCGTTTTTTTAACAACCGCCAAAAATATGCTCACATACCAATGGTTAATAAATAATGTCACGATTCAGTTTAAGTTTCTTATAAATATATCTGTATGCTCGTTATGTGTTTGATCTCGATGTTTGCAAAATATAAATTTATATCTCAAGTCTGTTTTAATTAATCTATTCCTAGTAGGATAATTAAACAAACATATTGAGTAGATGTATGACGAAACTATTTCCAGAGAAAAATGACACGGCAGCACAAATCGCGCTCGGCGAAAAACGACTCGGGGATCATATTCGCGCGATCTTGAAGCACTATCAGCAGGAGGACCCGGTGGGACTACCTGGGGCGCCAGTGCCGGATCCAATGCCGGTGCCGGACATGAAGCATTCATTCTCCATGTACACAATGAACTTCAAGCAGGTCAACGTTTACGGACTTTCGAAATTTCGGATCGTCCGTATGGAGTCGGAATTGGCTTTGATGCAAGTGAGGCTCTCCCGGTGATAAATAATGCTCCTTTCTTATACATAGGGTGGGAAAGTTTCAGCCAAGACTATAAGCTGTCCCTATTCCTCAGGCTTGATGGAGTTACACTCGTATCTCGTTACACTTTCACGTTCACATATGGCCAATTTTTAAGTGACCATATTTATAAAATTTCTCCATAAAGAGGACTAATAAGACTATATCCTGCTTTTTTTTAAGTGTTTAATAGTGCCCTGCTCTTATAAAATTCCATTACTTTAAAACAATTGCAAAACAAGTACTTAGGAAATATTTCCATTCTTTTTAACTGGAACACTTTTTATTAGATAAATAACGTACGTCGCTACGAAAAACAAAAAAAACAGAAGTTAATTTTGCATTCGGTGACTAACCAACCAGTGAGACGTCATCTAATTAAATCGCGCCGAGTTAAGAATCACTTGCCAAATTGGTTCACACGGGAATTAGCGACGAAGTGAAGAAAAACAAAAAACAAGTAACAGTCGCGTAACGATCGAGTCCTATTCCAAGACTTTCTGATTTCGAAATTAATTGTCGACATTTGTATCTCATAGGTGTCCGTGTCATTGAGTATCCGAGCTTTGGATATTCGGGGGCTGTACACGTTATCGTCGTGGCTCTCGCGATCGGCCGGGGACTTCACCGTCAAATTGACGGAGGTACGTGTCCAAGGTGTCGCTAGGCTCGAGGTCGGGGCCGATGGTAAATTGCAGGCCCAGGACATCGATATGGATCTGACGTTCGAGAAAATCGACATGGACTTCAAGAATCTCGGCTTTCTTGGCTCTGTCTTCCAAGGTGTGATCAACTCTGTGGGAACGTTCATATTCGACAGCATCAAGCCGTTCATCTTGAAGGAGGTCAACACTAACGTACGGTAAAGAAACTATTGGCGGTAGCGTTTCATCGCGGATGGAATCCCAGGTAGCACATGACGCCCAATGACGCCTTGGAGACGGCTCAAAGGCGTCATGTGCTATCTGGGATGGAAATGATTCGATAGACTAACGGCCAAATCGTTCTAGGGGCGAAGTCAACAAGCAAATATCTCAGCTACCTCAATACTTCCCGAATTCTATATCGCCGTTCGATATGGCGGTCGCTGAAGCACGTCGGCAGGTCTCGCAGATGGGGTACGACCCGTACAAGGTGAAGGATTACAGCCAAACTGTCGGTATATTCGCAGTGACGTCGACGCACACTTGGGTCACCGGCCTGGCGAGTTTCTATCGGATGGGAAACATCACGCTGAGCATGGAAAACGGAACAGTGAGTAATGAGCCATTGGGTCGATTACCGTTGTCACAGACGAGATATAAGAATAGATCTAATATCTTATGAGACTTGGTGTACCACGAAGTCACGCAGGTTCGAGCGAATATCCCATAAAAGTTTCCCACTTCAGGTACGATGTTCGACACCGTGATGACGCACAGCACAGACACACAGCTGTGACTGCATATAGCAATACATACATACATACATTATTGCCCCGGTTTCGTTAGCAAGGAATGGAATACTGAAATGATACGGGGGCTTCTGACGCCCCCGAAGCATGGGACAGAAAATTACATTGCATGTTAGATCTATTCTTATATCTCCTCTGTGCCGTAGGTTATCTGCCACGGAACACGATAGGGAAAAAAAAGGAAAACGGTTTCGCGCACAGTAGTCTGATTATCGATCACCTCAATGCATCGCTTGCACGATTGCAACACACGCCCACCTGTGGGGACACGAAAGTTGCAAGCTAAAGAGCTTGTATGTATACCGCGATTATATCATCTATTACGTCGCGTGCAATTGTAAATACACACCGGTTATTCGACTGTCAATCGGGATCCGTAATTGTCGCGTGCGCGTTATATCATCGATTTGTAGGCGTTTATGAATAACATGTCTGGATTTCCTTATAAAGGTATACGCTATGATCGACGTTGGGACTCAGGAGATCGAAGGAAAGACCCATTGGGACGTGAGCGTCGTCGGTGGTTTTCTCTCGAGGGCCGGCACGGTTTCCTTCACTATACAGTATTTCAGAGTGCAGGTGACGTTAAGCCAGTCCTTGGATACCCGAAAAAGGCCCACCCTCGAGGAACTTGATCTCGAACTGGGCAACATCCAAGCCAGGGTTCACGGAGCTGGCACCATCGATTACTTAATGGAAGCTAGCATTAATGTACTGCCTAACCTTTTAAGGTTCGACCTTCTCGATTATTCATTTTATTCTCGTTCCTAGAACGACGACGTGTACACTTGCACGGTGTTTCATAAGTTTCGGTTGGGCCTCGATTAAAGACAATATAGTCAAGATAGTTTTCTCGAGAAAGATCTACTATAGGACGATACTTAAATATTAATGTACACCCCCTCTTGGGAAGTGACGCGTTTATGGATTAAAAATTCTCGAAACACACACAATACTCGAGTAATCAGATTCCGCTGATAATCGAGGCTGATAACTCATGAGTCACCCTGTGGTGTATGAAAATTTTATTTAAGCAAAGCTTCTTTTGTTATCAGGAATCAGATAATGGACGCCATAGAAGGACCTCTCAAAAGACGAATACAAGCTGAACTGAACAAAGTGGACGTCGAGAAGTTGATACACGATAAGATACCGGATATAGAGGAACAAGCGAGGTACATCCAAGGTATAGTTCCTCCGGTGGAGACTCTTCTTGAAGAGGCAATACCACCCCAAGATCAAGATGAACAGCCGTTCTCGGACAGCGAGGAGAATCGAGGACCTTCGTAAATTAACCGAAGGTGGAATAGTCAGCAACTGAAAACTATTTATGGTTAGGCGCAGGAAGACTACTTCAATACCTTTATGTGATTATTCGTATCTAAGATCAGGATACATGTTCTGTAGCATTTTGTAAATATTTTTACATTGTATCAAAGTGAACTCTCTCTGAACGTATTTTTTGTTCTTATCCTAAAGCGAAAACTCGAATTTTTATTATTCAATATTTATTGGAAAAAAAAGCTATAAGAAAGTACAATAGCGTGTACAATTCGTGGTGTCATCGAAGCACAGTATCCGTATAAAGAAACTTACACAGAAGACACATTAATTTCGCAATGCTAAATCGTACAAGTTCGTTAAATGTGTTCTCCACGTACATATATTGTGCTTTAAAGTTAAAAAAAAATATAATACATTTTATCAGACTTTAATTTACATTGACAAGGTTAATCATATTCTAGATATCCGCGGTAATTGAAATCTGAAATACCCAAAACGTAACAAAGTAAAAACAAATTACGTACAGAAACAAAAGTTTACAACAAAAACTAATGGAATCGTTCGAATACCCTTGACGAAAATACGGTGAGTGAAAAAAAAAGAAACTTGGAAATCGTGAATGAAGGATCCGTTTACGGTTTACGTGGCTTTAATTGCCGGCGCGTATCTTCGTTCGATAGGTACGATTCTCTCGCCAGGAGCAGGCAGGACAAGTTTCGGTACGGTGACAGTGAGAACACCATCAGACGATAAGCTCGGTTTCACGTGGCCGATGTCGTAGCCCTGTGGCAGTTCGTAGCGACGCACAAAGTGTCTCGATATGAAACCATGCTCGTCCTTCTTCTCCTCGTGTTTACCCTCAATGGTGATGCATTTGTCGTCTGTACGGACTGTAATTTCTTCTGGCGCGAACTGCTGCACGTCAACGATCACCTGGAATTTATCGTTGCTACTTTCAAGCGATGCGTTACCGCCCGCTTCGCGTTCCAGTCGTTCCATCATGTTCCTCCATGGAAGGAAGAACTCGTTGAAGGACGGGATAGCCGGTGTCTGCCAGTAATCATCTCTGTTAGTCATTGCCAGACGTTTGAAATGCTCGTCGAGCTCGCGATGGTAGCGATCCATGTCGTCCCACCAGTTGCGGAAAAGATTCCTCGTTAGCAGCGCCATCTCGGTTATGATCGATCTGTACGAAAATGCGTAGAGTATTAGTACACAACGTTTCATTTTTTTTGTTTGAAGACATTTTATGCCCGGCTATTTACTTTAATGTCGCGGAAAAATACACGAATTATATTCACGTAAGTTCCGATGCATAACGTTTCTGTTACGAAAAATAAATTTGATACGATTGAATCGCGTATGTGATCGAACAAACACGTAAAGAAAGTTCGTAAGCTAGTGCATCGAAGATATTGCTCTGTAGACTTATTTTGTTGAGAATGAAAAAACAATCACGTTGGCAATCAATTGCACAGGCTTCTTTTACGTATTTCTGGTGATTATTTTTAGATGCACAGTACACTTCACAAAACGTTCCATCAACGTTTACATCTGTAATACCGACCGCGATATTTTCCAACGATTATGAAATACATGGCATCGTAACGTAACAACAAATTAATTATACCATTTATTAATTAGAAAATTTAAATACGTATGAATGCCATTCTACATTACGCATAAATGATTGTTTTGAGCAAATATCAGGACAAAGTACCTATACGCTGTCGATTCATCTATTATTCTAGAAATATTTCTGTTGTTAATTACTATAACGAAATGAAAAAAAAACAACGAATATCATCGACAGCATCATAAAGTTGTTACAAACGTCGCAAAATCGTTGGATTAGCGTGGTACATACCTTTCGTTGAAAAGTGTTTGCTGTGTTTTCAGAAATCACTCGCAAAGAATCGCTTTGATTCGTGAATCCTTCGTAATTCAGTTGCAAACCCAGGCGAACTTAACAGTTCAAGTTGTAGTTTGTAACTGACTGCGTAGTTCCGCAAGCAGCTAATTTATATTTGGTTTGGCGCTCTTTTCGAGATTCTTCGAGATGTGCATGCGCAAATACTCCTAACCCCCACTCCTCTATTACTATTCCCGTCGCAACGAATCAGCGAGTTCCTCGTTCTCATGATCGTTTCCCGTTCGTTCGAGAAATTTCCTAACATGTTTGTGGCGCGAATTAAATCTTTACATTTTCTTCTATACTTTTCTACATTGTTCCGAACCCACGTAATATCATCCTGTTCACCGCGTTGATGCTACCTCTTTTCGAAGTTTTTACACAATGTTATGTAACAGAAGTTGTTTATGTCCACATAACACCGAGGACATGATTTTCTTATAACTTGATCGTCCGCTCTCTCGGACATGAAATTTGTATTTTGATCATTTGCAAAAACTACTTCTTTTTTTTAATGAATCAGTAAATAACTATGAAAAGTACTTGAAACATTTGCTATTAGAATAATAGTATTACTATAATCAGACCTGACCAATTCATAATTAATAAAAACGTTCCTCGGAAGGTAATTTCCGGATCGATGATGCATGCATAGACCGATTTGTCGTGCTAAATATAAATTTTCGACGGTTACATTTAATCGATGACGAATACATTTATTCTGGGATTTATTCGACATAGACGTCGATTTTGCCAGGGCGTGGTAAAAAGTCGAAGAATATAGCAGTTCCTTGACGAAGAGGAAACAATGAGGCACGACGGTGTATCGATCAGTAATCTATTTAGAATTTGAACTCTGTATCTAAAGGTGCATATGTATATGACATATACTATATATATGTACTGTAATATTCAAAAAAATATTTGTGCAGCACAGTCGACTGGATGGTAACGACCTCTACACAGTCTCCTTTACACTTTGTAACATTCCAGAACTGCAAAATCGATAAGACAGAACGCGACAAACTGTCTTACCACCGATTGGTGCAAACGCGATCGTACATTCGTTATGCGCATGCTGTATAAAGAGTGGCAATTTTGAATCTTTTCAATAAGATCAATCTTTTCTTAAAATAACAGGTACAAAATAAATATTCCGTAACTTTTTATAATAGAATAATATAATAAATGAGATAGACAGATCATTTCCGTATTTCCTAAAAAAATAATTTGAATAATCGTAACGGAAGGATAATAAGAACACGAAAACACTGGATATATTGAGTATTGTATGGCTGAGTATTAGATTTAATAAATACAGGAATGCATCGATTTGACATATTTTATTGTTTATCAGAATAATTACGATAACGTCTTAAGCGGATGCAGAACTTTGTACGGATTAAGGATGCCGTTCGGATCCATCAGCTTCTTCAAATCGTGCATCAGATCGATTTCGGAAGGCGTTCTACTCATGTGAAGATATTTAGTTTTCGTAAATCCTATGCCGTGTTCGGCGCTCACGCTACCACGGAGACTCGACACATATTCGAAAATAAATGGCTGCAACTGCGCCGCTATGTCAGCTTCGTAGGTCGGTATCGAAATCTGCACGTGTATGTTTCCATCGCCTAATTAATAAACACAAAAAGAACGAAAGTTACAGAAAGAAAGAATTCCAACGTGTGTTCGATCATTTATGTTAATAATCGAGTCGTACCTAAATGGCCGTAACCGCTGATCCTTATGATGCGTGGATCACGCACACGATCCCTGAGCACCTCGATCACTTTGTAGAAAGATGGAAGGGGTATCGAAATATCATACTTAAACACGTATCCTTCTCGCAAGATACCTTCGCTAATGCGTTCCCTGAGCGACCATATATTCTAAATACATCGAACAAACAAAAAAATTCTCATCCAACAAGAATTCAACATCCAACTATACGCACTGATGCTCGAGATCGTCAAAGGAAGAATTTTCGATTGAAGTGTAAGGCTCTGATCAGGAGGATTTTCATACAGGACAAGGTGCAGGATGGTGTTTGGTTTGATGTCTATTAGGTCTGGATTCGATCACGATCAAGTTCTGTGTTGACAAAACTACGAACTTTTACTTTAGCAGGGTCCGACGTTAGTGTACCATCCTCGATTATATCCTCCGCGAGCGCCTGTTCCACGAAAGACGCGAGCTTCTCCTCGTCGTGTTGCACGTTGCTCCCGGATGTCTCCAACAGAACGTAGAAATCATGCCCGTCCGGTTTCGTTGTCAACGGATTTTTCAAATCGAAAGTGCCGGTCGACACGTCCAGCGACAGCTTGTCCATCATCTCATACGAGGATAGAATCTCTCCTAATTCCTTTTTCGCTAGTTGAAACGCTTTCAGGACCTTGTCGAAGCTGTTCAATCCTGTAAGAGTGGTGGTAATGGTTCTTCAGGCATCAAAGAACGGACATACCGTCGATATATCTTATATTTTCATACCTAAAAACGCTACGTTTATAGCTCTGGGAAGGGGCGGGCATTGAATCGCGACTTTTGTCACAATTCCCAACGTTCCCTCGGAGCCTATGAACAAGTGCTTCAAATGATAACCGGTGTTGTTCTTCTTCAACGTGCTCAGACAATCCACCACGTCGCCGTTCGCTTTCACCTAGAATAAATTCGCTCAGAAACGACGCAATCTCGACACCTGTATATTTGTTGAAACACACACTCACAGCCTCGAGGCCCAACACGTTCCCGTGCAGGTTCCCATAACGAAGTAGCCTCAGACCGCCTGCGTTCGTTGACACGCAACCGCCGATCAAGCAACTACCCTTCGCGCCGAGATCAATCGGCATCATTAACCCTACTGTCGCCAAATGATTGTCCATATCCTCCAACACGCAGCCAGCTTCGCAAGTCAACACCCCTGGCATTTAAAGATAATGAGAAGAGAAAGGAAAACACATGAGAACGGTGAGTGTCGCTCGACACGCAACACATTTACGAGCGAGACTTTCCATCTTGTCGATGGATTCGGTGATTCCTAAGTCCGCCATAGTGTTTCGAATACGATCACGACTACCACTGGAGATTCACCAACCTGCCAGTTCATTGGTCTCGATGATCTTGTTCATAAGTTTCATCGAAATAACGATCTCATCGAACACCGGCACGCTGCCGCCCACGAGACCAGTGTTACCGCTCTGAGGGCACACGGCTAACCTATTGTCATTGCAATACTTCAATATGGCAGACACTTCCTCCGTCGTTTTCGGCTTTAGAATCAGATTGCTCTTCCCTGAAATTAGAGTCGTGCCCACGGTCCCGTGTTTAAACACCAAGAGGAATTCAATTCAAATGAAATATATATAATTTCTCGTCTAAATAGAATCCAATTATCGCGATCGCGATTTAATTACGGCTAAAATAGAGAGACCAAACGGTCTATCCCACTGTATCGATTCTCGAACTGTTTTTTGAAAAAGAAAAAAATTACAAGTATTGACAGACCAAGAAAACTCCCCCTTCCTCTTTTCCCCTTACCTCGGACGATTTTCGAGTAATCTATGTTGTAGTGCTCGCATTCCTCCGAATTCGAGATCACCCTGTTCGGACCAAGCAGACTGTCGAAAAAGTCCGTGTGCTCGTTCGTGATCCTCGCGTACGGGCCCCGTTGAACCTTGTATCTGTCGGAGGTGAACGCCGGTTTCGTGTTCGCCGAGAACGAGCGGAAACTCGTGACGGTTCGGAGCACGCGGAACGGAACGCGTGAACACATTCTTCTACTTCTGTGGAAAAACATTTTGTGTTCGTTTTTCGAATGGAACCGTGGGGGCCGGCGAACCGCCCCTTGCCGTCGTCGATCTCCCGCGTTAAACGAGAGATATCATGGTCGTGGGGAGGGGTGGGGGGGCGTACACGAAAGGGAATGGTCTGGGGTGTCGCGTGAATTCATGATCCCCAAATGCATCCTCCAAGATAAATCGCTTGAACCGATAAAACCGCCTCTTCATTAGTCCCCCCCCCCCCTCGCGGTTTATATTCCACAATTTAGATAAATTTAGGCGTTCTAGATGGTATTTTTAGAGGGCAAATGGTACGGCCAATTGAAACGGGATTATTTACGTAACGCGACCGAAGATATCGAGGATGAACGACCGAATCTTTCAACTCTCTCTTCGCATCGGTCGCGACAGATGAACCTACATACATACTTTTATATTATAAAATAAATATTGATTTCACGAAGTAGTGAACACCGCATGGAATGTTTGTAATCTTAACCTAATAAACATCTCGTTGATAGATTCGAGGAGATGGCTTAATGTGTATGATATGATATTAATCGGAATATCGGAAAATCCGGTGATACATCCGATCGCGTTCATTCGACTAATGTCTCAACGATCGAAGGAGAAAAATCGAATGGAATGGAGAACGATGATGGATGATGCCGTGTGTGTGGGTCCAGGTAGAAAAACGAAAGGAAATCACGTGTTAAAAACGATCGCGGCCGAGCGCGTAGGACCAGGCGTGGCGTAATTGCGTGCCCCCGGCTGCTTCCATTTTCTACACGCTAATTCGCCTCTCGATGCCCCGATCGACGGACATCGGAATATTATAATCCACGATGAATCTTGATGGGCAACTCCCCTCCTTCTCCTCCTCCTGCTACCGTAGCCACAGTTCGCACGCACGTCCCCCTCCCCCTTCCCCCGTGAGTCCCCGCGTGTATCGTTCAAGAGGATTCGCGAGGAGGCGACGCGTGGTTGAATTACGATCCGGAGGAACGGTGGGGAAAATAAGGTCAGGGGTAGAGGGGTCGAAAGAGTGACGAGAAAAGATGGTAGAGAAAGAGAGGCAGACGGACGGCGATGCAAATCATGTGCGGGGTAAAGGGGAAAGAGGACAAACGCGAATGGAAAACAGAGAGACGAGCAAGAGCCTAGAGTGGGAAGGGGACCAATCGTCGCGACGACTGGAACGCTATACGTCCGTATTCTCTGTGCTCTATGTGTGTGTATCACCCCCCACCCCCCGGCCAGGCTTCACGTTTATTCGAGTTGCGCTTGTGCCAATCACTGACACTTCTTTCGATCGATGTACATACACGTACCCATGAGATGGCTTTCTGTACAACACGAGGCCACCACAGTGATACCTTGTGTACCCACACAAAGAGCATATATACATATGTATAGATTGAGAAACGCTCGATATAGATGGGAGGGATAGCTATATCGAAGCCAAGCAGGCAGGAATACATAGCGACCAGTTTTCATGGTAGAACGCATGCGCGACACCGCCACGAACCGAAACTAATTTCTCAGTGGCGGCTCGAATCATTAACTTGTTACCTTGGCAACCCCGGTCGACCTAAACCATTGGCTGTCGGTTTCCCCCACCTCCCCTTCGTACGCTCTATCGGTCGAACAAGAAACTACGCACGCCGCCACGCTTCTTTCGCGGGATATATCGTAATTTTCCTAACCTCGCGTGAACGGGACTATAGACTGTCGGTGTTTCTCGCGACGCACACAATCGCACAGTCCGCGTCTAACGAATAACGTGTCAGAGAGAGACAACGCGACTGTAGGGACGTGGTTGCTGGGATTGGCGCGGCGGCCACGACTTCTTTCTACCCCTCTGTGCGCCGCCAACATCGTACGTTTTGATTCTTTGTCGAAATCCATGACCGGTATTGGAAGATCACCGATAAATCGGATGCGTTTCGTGCTTTCCATTCGATCTTTGCGAGCGTTTCTCAGTAAACATCGATATCATAACGGTTATTATAGATTGTACAAAAGAAATTAAATTCCTCTGTCGTCGATACAAAACTATTATAAAAATTTGTTTACTCAGATAGTAGATAAAATGAATTATGTTTAGACAATGAATATACGGTTTATTACAGTAGATTTGTAAATGGCAGCAAATATCTTGAACTTGTAATCAATACGATGAAATAACAGTAATACCACAATATAGACATATCGCATCCCATTCAAATTGCGATTTTATCAGGTCAAATCAAGAATAGAATACAGAGATATTCAAATATTCGGTATAAAATCATGTAAATAAGTATTGCATTCGTGTGGTGGATAAAAGAAAAAAGTACATACAGGGCTCAGTCTTTACGGATTGGATAGGAATTCTCTACACAGGCGCAAAGGGCCAATCGCAAACGAAATCGCATTACGGGGTTTTGAGCAGGGCAGTATAAGCTCAACTTAGAAACAGCTGGGCCAGGGGCGTAACGAGCAATTCTGAAACTGGATCGACACGTACTCGCAATTCATAATTGTTACGTACTCGCACTTTAAAAATCTATTCCTACATAATGTTGAAATGCAATCAATAAATTTCAACCGAATAAATATATTTTCTTCAGTATATTTACTTGTACAGTATATTTTTCATTTATGAGATCAGATAAAGAATAAAATAATACATATTGAATTATATTACACTTTCTAAAATTACAATATACATGTGTTATAAGTGTTCAATATGAAATTCATAATACCAACCAATAAAATAAATGATAAAATGATGCAAAGTTCACGAATCTGCAGTATATTAATACTCTACTGTCTGTTATACATAATTAAAATTTTTTTGTAGATAAACAAATTTTTACAAAGTAATATAAAACGATAGATTTCTATTTTTATACTGTTTCTATTACTGTTCTATACGTATTCTGGTGTGACCAAGAAGAACAAACGATAAAATTTAATAATATCGTAGAATTTCTGACGTTAGGGCGAAAGCACAACTTTATTCGGCCCTGATGGTATCGCCGAGTGCACTGCAAAATATTCTGCGGACTATAATCACGTATACATACATTGGGATCCGTTTGTATGCGTACGACAGTGTAGGTAAGCCCGGAGTAAGTGTATGAGTACCGTTACGGGGCATGCGCCCGCAGCCACCATATCCAATGGCCCCGCCTTTCACGGCACAAACGATGCCTTTGGGATTTGTCCTCGCTGGACCAATGAGCGAACGAGGATGACATACGGGACGGGAGAGGTGAGGTTATAAGAGTCGAATTGGAGGGGAGCAGACAGGAAGAAGGGGGACGAGGGGGACGAGAGGAACGGAGAGAAGCGAGGGGTTCCCTGGATCGTGTGGGAGCAGGGAGGCAGACAACGAATGTGACTACGAATGCTTACGAAAGCTCGCGACGTCAACGTATACCAAAATTTTGTTTAAAATACGTCCAGTGTTTTTTCTTAAAGACTTACGAAAGTCAAAAGTGCACAATAGAAAGTTCGACCAAGCTCGCATGGTGGAATCGGTGCGGTGAGTGTTCAGACGGCGTGTTCGAAAACGTGATAGGTGTGACTGCGCAGTCGCCATGTGAGTACCTGAGAGAACAAGTATCCAAAACTCCGTGCAAACTCGTGTACTTTCGATATCTTTAATCTCCCTGTAGACCTGCGTTGCCTGTATTTTCATGATGCTACCGTGTGTTCGACATAACTTTACTAGATGGTTACCGAACAGTCATCGAACGTACAACAGCACTGTGCGTTATGTCCCGCCGGATCTTCGAACGTGCTTTATTTTGTAATCCAATATGTCGGCGTTAGGGACGCTGTTCTGTATTCACAGAAATATTATTCCTCTGCTTCGCGTGTTACGATTCCTGGATGGATAACTGTATGGTACGACACTGTCCGAAGAACCGCGTGTGTTGTTATTATCGTCATCGTCGTTATTACCATTATGGCGAAATCCATGTTGTCAACCGCCCCCTAGCACAGTCGTTTCTCCCCTTCCCTCTTATTTTTCTTTCCCCCTTCCTCTTGCCGCCCCCTTCAGCCCGCCTTTCAGTTGTATTTCCCGCTCAGAGAAATACGCTCCCCCTTTACCCTTCATATCCACATACAATAATTATGGTGGTTCTTGCGAGACGACATTTTGTTTCTTCCACTCCGATCTCAAGATGGATCATGTGTTCTCTCGGTTCGTCGATATTTCAATATTTTTTTTCGCGCATACAGGTCTCTTCTTTACCGCTCGAGGCATCTTTGTCTATTTTTATTTCGTTTCGCGTATTTCACGATCCACTGCCCTCATTTTTCTTCACTGTATTCAGTAATAAACTAATTTTCAAATGAAATTGAACTTTTCAATTTGACAACAAATACTCCCATTATAATACATTTTCCTATTTATATACTATAATAAATGTATGTGTATGTACACATATATATTTACAAATTATATACGTTTTTATGCATTTGTACACGAGTATTAATGTAATATATATATGATTATTATAGTTATTTTAATATATTTCTGAAATTTTGTTGCAACGTTTTCGTATTTGCGAGAGTTACAATGAAAAGTAAAAAAATAAATTGATGAAATATTTGATAGGTTATATGAATATCTGATCAGATTTCAAGTTTTGTTTTATATTATTGGTTTTCTCGTATTTGTAAATAGACTTTAAAGAATAACGCGTAACAAGTTATAACTTTGTTAAATGATTTTATTTTGGACTAAATATGTTTTTATATCATTGCTTGATCGAAGTAATTCGAACCATTTTTTCATTTATTGAAAACTTCTTTCTGAACATATGCCTTATTTATTGTTAATTATTATTTATACGATGAATACTCTGATGGATCTGTTAACACTAATTATTTGTTTTTTAATAATTCTAATGTTATATATAAATATTACTTAAAATACTGGTTTTAAGGTTATCTTTCATATTTTATGTGTATGAAACTTCTACCTATAAAAATATTTATCAGATGTTAAGAGAGGACTAATCTATAAAGTTTGACATTTCACTCGTAATATCATATTTTAATGCAAAAATGCGAAAGTACCACATGCACAAATTAACATACATTTGTTTAGGCGCAATTGGTTTTTTTTCGTTCATAAAGCATGCAATAATTAATTATCAGGGAACACTTACATTGTTTATAAGAACTGATCACTTTGCACACTTACTTTTACACTTCTCTCACAAATACGTTTAACAAAAATGATTTTACGAATCTCGAATTTGAAATTGCGATTATCCACGTGTATCGAAAAAAATTAGGGTTATGAACAATAAAACATTGCATAACTTTTTTTTCATTCTTGTAATATTAAACATTATTGGTGCTGCATTGAAATTATGTGAGCACACTAAATAAATTTTATGATATACAATTGATTGTTGTTTTTATATACATATAACTAAGATGAATGTTATCTTTTTTTATCAAAATTTATTCCAAGATTCAAAAACACCTTTAATAAAAACAGAAACTCTTCCTTGCAGGTGCAACAAGTTGAAAAGATTAAAAGTAATAATTTACTAAAAAAAAATATGTAAACACAATGGCAAGAAAAAAAGACATTAAATTGCCGAAAATTTAATAACAAAGAGAACACTTCTTTTTGTAAAGGAAGTTTAATTCTGCATAATAAAAAGTTGTGGGAAAACATGACAGATGTTAAACCAATTGGAATCTCACAAAATCAACCACAACAAACGCAACAGCCACAACAACAGTCTCAACAGCAGCAACAATCTCAACAACAGCAACAGCCTCAGCAGCAGCAACAAATGATGATTGCAACCCATGATATCCAACAACAGCAAAATGTACAGCAACAACAGCAGCATGTTCAACAGCAGTCAGCTCAACAATCACAACAACAACAAGCACAACAACAAGTACAGTCTCAACAAGTTCAACCCCAACAACAACTTCAACAACAAGTGCAGTCGCAACAACAAATGCAAGTACAGCAACAGGTACAACAACAGGTTCAACAACAAGTGCAACAACAAGTGCAACAAGTTCAACAACAAGTGCAACAACAAGTTCAACAGCAGCAACAGCAGCAACAGTCTCAACAGCAGCAATCTAATAATGGACCACACAATGTTGTTCCTACCCAAGTGCAAGTACAGCCACAGGTAGCAGCAATCATGCCTCAGCAGCAGGTAAAACTTTCTTGGATAACGCTTATCTATTGAAAGACAAACAGTACATATTGTAATACGACTTGTATAATTATAAAATATTGCAGGGTGCTGTTGCAGTATCGATGCAACATCAACAACAAGGCGTAGGAGGTGTATCTATGACTCTGTCTGGCCAACAAGGAGCAACAACGATAACCACTATGGCTGCACATCCACAAGCAGTACAAGTTATTCAGCAACCCATGCAAAACCAAGCATATCATTTACAGCAACTGTACAATACTCAAGGAACTCCATTACTCATGCCAGGAAACTTAGCTCTTCATCCTGCAGGGATTAATCCTTCTTCTATACAGGTACTCAAATGTACTTATAATATTTTGCATTTTCAAACAAATTTAAATTCTTTTCTAAGTAGGATGCTTTACAGGTCATAACGGCTGGAAAGCCGTTTCAGTCAGCTGCTCAACTTACACCTCACATGTTGACTACTGCGTCATCGCCCGGTCAGGGTGGAGGTCATCCTGGAGGTGGAGGTACTAAGGTACAAGGATTTCCTACTGGTTACTTACCAGTACCTACTTCTGCTACACCTGGAGCAGGACAAACCTTAGTGTTCGGTCAACTCGGTGTACTGGGTTCTCCTCAACCACCTCAATCCATTCAACAACAGCAGCAACAGCAATCTGCAGCCAAGCAAGATCAAGTGCAGAAGGTATTACCATGTTTTTTAAATTTCATGTTATAATCATTGGTATTATTCTAGATGTATACGATTTTTCATGTATGTTACGTTGCCAAAATATCTAGTATACCACATGCACGGCAGCTACGCAACCCGGCGGAAGGGGTGGTATGCAATTTGCCCCATGGCAGTTTACGCCACAAGTTGCTTGGACAGGGATACAACCACCAGCACTTCTTACTAATCAAATATTTATTAGAGGCCCTACTCAACCTGATATGTTCATACAAAGTCCACAGCCGATACAGCATAATGGTTAGTTCATTGCACATGGAATGTAGTATGTTCTTAAGTGTCAGGACTAACATACCCTTATGTATTCAGCACTGGCTACACAACAACAAATTCAGGGGGTGCAGCAAATTGCTGCAGCCAGTGCTAAGCCAAAGGTAATGGATATGCAACAACAGCAACAACAACAGGGTAAACAGAGCACAGGTGGACAACGACCGTTGAGTATATTACCGTCCTCTCTACAAGCAGTACAAGCAGCCAATATACGAGCTGCCAGTTCCGTTTCTACTCAAACTGTTCATGGAGTTCAAGCTACGGTCTATGCACAGGTTGTTATAATCAAATTCACAGTTATAAGAACGATTGCAACTACTGCGGTTGTTGAATTATATGCAGCATATCGAAACGCGTTTGCTGTTTACGTATAATGAAATGGAGGTGTTTTTCTTTTCATGTTTTATAACTTAAAGAGTGGAAAAGGAAGCGGTAGTAGCGGTAAAGGTCGTGGTAAACCACTGCAATCGCCGCAACAACCGCAGCAACAGTCACAGCAAACGATGCAACAACAACATCAACAGGTTTTTATACAACAGAAACAGCACACGCAACAGCAACAGCAGATGCAACAGCAGTATCAACAGCAACAAGTACAACCTTCGCAACAGCAAATACAGCCTAAACCAATAATGAGTGAGATAATGTTCCGTATATTTTCTATTAAATCTTTGTAACAATTTATCAGGTACCTAACAGTTATTTCGTTTTTCACAGCAAACATGACACTACAGCATCAACAACAATCTGGTGTAGTTCTCGGTGGAGAACGACCAATCATGCCTGTGGTATCTGTAGGTGGAGTTGGGGTCGGAGTCGGAGTTGCTACCACATCTCAAATGAATCAAGTACAACAGTCACCGATGTCTACAGTACAACAATTACCACTACAGGTGATAAACGTTATGCTTTTTCATTTTTTTTTTTTTAACATTGTATATAAGACTAATGCTACATAATACCATTTCTTTCAGGCAATCAATTCGACGATACTTGGTAGCCAAATTGTTAGTGGTACGTCACAGGTTCAAACAATGTCCATGGTAAATCAGTTGACGGATCAGCAGACGCACGATAATGGTAATTCCACGATAATGATCACGTCGCCCGATCGTAATCATCAAGCAGAATGTTCCTTAATATTACAATCCACGACAAATACTGCAATTACAAATGATGAAAATTCTAAGCCACTTTTGAAGAAGGAAGACACGATGCCACTTACGATAGAGGAAGTTGTGGTATCTCAACAAGAAGCGACAGGTTGGTCTGCAATATATTTAATGTTTCAAACATAAAACATTTCTCTGTTGTTATTTTATCTTAATACGTTTATTTTTTTTTATTCTTTGCGTAGATGGGGACCAATGTAAAATAGTTGTAAAAGATGATGAAACTTTACCTGCGAAGCCGGAAGAGAAACAGTGCAACAACCCATTAGCAGGGCTGGCGAATACAATTAATTCTATAACAAACGGTGTTAGCAATGAAGAATCTGCAGTAATACCCGTCTCTATACAAGTTACTGCAAATAGTAAACATGTGCCTCCAAAAGCAATGGTGAAACCACAAGTTCTTACGCATGTGATAGAAGGCTTTGTGATACAAGAAGGTAATATTTTGATTGATCATTTATATATTAATACGTTTATGAGTTACAGTATTTAAATTTATGAAGAATGTGTTCTTTCAGCATCGGAACCATTTGCTGTTAATCGAACATCATTAAATAATACAGTTAGTCAAGAAACTAGTAATATTTTGAATCGTAATAATCACAATGGATCGTCTGAAAAAGAGAATCACGATGAACCTCCAAGTAAGATTACAAGAAATTAATCTACTTCCTATATAATTTTGCATTGAAAACATAAGATATATTAAATGTTTTATTCCTCACAGGGAAAAAGCATGCGCCGAATTATCCTAGTGATGAGGATGGAAACAATACTCAAGTCGGAAAGTGCGAAACTTGCGGTAACTTAATGGACGAACAGAATATTAAGTTTAAAAAGGAAAAGCGATTCTGTTCTACTGGTTGCGCGAAGAGGTGAGTAAATAAGTTATTCCTGAAATTACTATATTAGTCATATCAAAGAATACATAAGCACCATAACACGTTAATTCGAAATAAGCTACTAATATTTAGAATGGTATTATCATAAGTTTTGACTTAAACAGCAAAAAACGTGAAGTGAGAGATCGTGATGGAAATGAGAAACAGTGGACTGAAATGGAGACTGATTCAAAGAACGTTGATGGAGATATAGTGAAGAAGAATGGAGAAGAAAAGTCATTGTCTACTACAACTACCACGTCTTCTGTTGACGAGACACTGCCAAAAATTAATCCTGTTAAGTGGACGGTAAGAGTATTACAAAGAAAATGACTAGAAAGTAATACAATTTAATATGGAAATAGAATATAATAAAGTTGGAATATTTTATATTACACAGGTTGGAGAAGTATGCGATTTCATTCGTGGTTTGCCCGGTTGTGCAGACTACGCAGAAGATTTTGCTATTCAAGAAATAGACGGTCAGGCGCTTATGTTACTCAAAGAAGATCATCTTATGTCTGCTATGAGTATTAAATTGGGTCCGGCATTAAAAATTGTTGCCAGAATTGACTCAATGCGCGTAGAATCACTGTCGAATTCTAATCCCACTTCTACTAATTCGTAAACATACACTGCTTGAAATTTTTGTCTTCAGAATTTCAAGTTGCAGCCTATGGGCTACAGGGTTTGTGCAAGTATTCGAATCGGATCGTAGATTTAAGATGTCTAAGAAAAACATAAGATGTTTTTTTATGAACATACACTGTTTTTATTTCCCTAATTTTCATTCAATTTCGATGAAAATCTTCGTCTCTTTTTCTATAAATTGGTACATTGTTTACTAAGCACTTTAGTACTTCAAAATATACCAATATGGTTTAAAAATCAATCTTTGTAAGACTAGATTTTAAGCCTCGTACTATTCCTCGGTATATTAAGTGGCTGTTTCAACATTTAAATAAAAGCATAGCTTTTATTTAATTCTTCATTCTGATGTATCATACCGACAATTTTAAATTATAAATAATTATGTACTTTCTAAACAGTCTTACACCGATTGATATTTATACTTGTAAATAAAACTCATTCTTCCCTTATTTTTATTTGAAATGTATCTATATTGCATCTAAGCAATTTTTTAGAATACCATTTTATGAAATATGGTTGGCCAGAACTATCAAGAAACTGAGTACAAATTATGTCCATTACAAGAAAGAAAAACGTTGTACATAAATTATCCGGCATATAAGTGATGTATTTTGTACTCGAAAATTACTTTTGGAAGGTGTACAAAAATGATTGCCTTCTGCGAGATTTACAATAATTCTGAAAGGAAATTAGACATTTTTAAAAAAAAAGTTAGGCTTTGTGATGAATAGTAATTTATGTACATGACAATTTCAAATCGAGATATAGGACGTTTGAAGCAACGCAGTTAGCATTATCGACCATGTACTTTGTAAATGTATCATGTGCACTCAACTTACATACATGTAAATATTAAACATAAAATGTTTATTTAATATACAGATTTTATAACATGAAATTTTAGTTATTAACAAAAGTATCCTTCCATTTATAGTGATTTGTTTTCGGTTGGAGAATCGTTTACTGAAAATGCAAGAAAGATATATTTCTATTATTTGTATAACATATAATGTTACACGAGATGCAAGGCAGCAGTTTCAACTTTATGTGTGTCTATTTTGAAACATATTCATTGAAATTGAAAAAATATCAATGTATTATTTACATTCAATCTTTACAATTATGAACAGTGTAAATATATTATTTATTCAAGAAGTCCATTCAATTGAACATTAAATTATGTATAAATTGGCAATCATTATAAAAAATTATGTTTCCAAATTTTAACAAAATAACTATATATATAACATGTGCAGTAGTTTTATATTAATTTCCGTTTATAATAGTGAAATATTGAAGAATTGTCTACAACTTACATTTAGATAGAACAGCACTAATCACAATACATATTTAGTACGTAACATAAAGCACACTGTTCCATTTCAAATTTGAGTCACTCAGGACTTAATCTCACAATATGCCTTTTTATACTCCTTTGGAAGACATTATAGAAAGGGTTGTATACAATTTTAACTTATAAAATAAAACGAATTTCTAAATAATGCATTCATGATATAATACTCATATGTGAAACTAAAATATGTAGCATTCTAAATATTAAATTAAGGTAAAACATCTTACAGTATATATATTTTTCTAGACAAAATTAAATTATTGTTCTTTATTCTGTTATAATACATATTACATTTACAACCGCAACTTTATGTTTACTACACATTTTTTATTTCCATTGCAATATCTTCCAGAGCTCTCCCTTCAGCCAACAGGGATTCTTCATTTTCCAGTCTCATTTTTTTATGCAATGGTCGTATATATCGAAAATATTGGTATACACCGTAGAGCCACATTGAGCCAGTAACAACTGATGCAGCTATACAACAATTCACAAAACCTCTGTGCAGTTTATCTAAGATAAATTCCTTGTTTTTGTATCTTGGTAACATTTTTGTTTCTTGATATAAGTAGTAATTCTCAATTTAAAATTTTCAGCACACACTGAAAAATATGTGTATGCAAATTAAATTAACCGTGCAAACAAGAATAAAAACTTTCAACTTTTATTTTAATTAATGTTTCTATAAATGGTCTAATGCAAAGTTGAATATGTTAATTAACACTTACAGATTTTACTCCATTTTATGTTAAATAATATATTTACGTTAATAATGATGAACACACTGTGTTTACACTTATTAATGTATATTTATTGAATTTACTTCTCAATCGAAAATCAACTTCTTTTTGTGAGGTTAGATGCATGCACACAGATTTCACAAATATACATTGAAAAGTATCTTCACGTACTACTCCAACCTAACCTATGGAAATAAATATTACGTAACTTTTGTTTTAGTCAATTTTGTGTTTTACTAAATTAAACTCAAGTCGGTCAGATATGTATTTCTTTATTATAGTGTAATTTATATTCTAATTAACTTAACAAATATGTTTCTGTAACATTATCATTTATTTCTTGAACAATGTGTACATATTTTGTAGTTTAAAAAATAAAATGTACATCTCTATATTTTAAAATATTTACATCATGAATTAAATACTTAATCATTAAGAAGTTATACTCTATTTTTCTAGGAATTCATTGAATGTTGTTGGATCTACATCCAAGTCTATTTCATCTAAAGAAGGCCCCTGCTGTGTCACTGGCAATTCTAAAAATAAAAAAAAACAAATTCACCACATACGATTTAAAAAAATGAATTGCTCATAGTTTATGTTCGAACATACTACATATAGATCCTGTGGCCTTATATTCTTCAAGTTGTTCTTTAAAAACTTCATCAAATGTTTCCTGTCTTTCTTTCAGCATCTTCTGTTGCTTTTGTTCGTATTGTGATACTCTCTCAATATGCTCATTGGCCAACTTTGCTGAAATATATTGATACTGTGAATAATTTTTATTTGCATTTAAGTAGTAAACAAAATTTTAAATATCATGCAATATACCTTTAACTATATTCAATTCTGTAAGTTTTTTTTCTTCATATAGAGCTAACTGAAATCTATGATCCAGTTGTCTACTTTGTAAATCCAATATTTCATTTAAATCTTCCAATTGATAAATAGCTCCCTCTACTTCCTCAAACATTTCTTGTAATGTTCCTTTAACAGTTATAAAAGTATTTAATTTCATTTATTATCACTACTAATACTGTATCATAAACTTTATTTAATTAAAACTACCTATTTGGTCCATCAAATCTTGGATTGCGTTGTTAATTTTTGGAATATAAGCTAAAGTGCTATTTAGACATGTAATGTTTTTCCACTCTTGCTCAAGTCGTTCATAAATAGTTCCTATTAGTTTATCTGCCCCTTGTGCTTTTTCAGCATTTTCTTCTGCTAGCTCATGTAATTCATTCCATTGTAACTGATACCTATGTAAGATATCTGCTCCAGCATGGTAATTAACGTTTCGCACATTAGTAGACTTTTTATGTTTCGGATTTTCATTAATACTTAATCCTCTGATACTAAAATAATAAAATTAGCTTAGAAATTATTGTACTACTAATTTGTGACACATTTATAAAGAGTACATTTTTACTTTCTACTTCTTATATAATTGTAAAAGAACTGTAAATAAATATATATAAATATTCTTTACCTAGCTGAGATACCTTCCTGCACTGTTTGAAACTTATTACGCAAACTACCAAACATGATTGTTGATCACACTATTAATAAACGGACTAAAAGTACAATATTACATGTATCATAATCTTATGAGAGTATATTCTTCACTGACATATCCACTAACAAGAAATCAGTACATGCAATAAATTTCCAAAATTTTTACATACATGAATATTTAATTACATTACAGACTTTCAAATTTAAAATGTACCAAAAGTACTAATCTGAATTCTGAAAGCCACTAATATACTTAAAGAATGTTACAAATAATAAAGAACTACGAAGATAACCTCTTTATTGAATTCGTTAATGATTTTTTCCTCAATTTCGTCAATATGTCTTGAACGACAGAATTAATATTTACTGGCAGTAACTGTCAATTAACACGAATGATTGTTTTATATTATAATTACAGAAGACTAATAAAAAGCACAGTCCAAGTACCAATATAATTGTACAAAATGATATATATATACATGTACTAAACAATTTATTTTTATACTTTGTTCGCAAGGTTTAATTATTACAAAATAATAAATGATACGCGTACTTTTTAATAATCATACGTTTTGTATTTTATGAAAAATACAATAATGCTGCGTGGCTTTTCTTTATAAATAGATTGGTAGCACTGGTTGCAGTTTATACTGCATACCGCAGTCTTCATTTTATTGAAATATGTATTATTTAATTGAATGTTTCGTAATAATTGCATAAATGACTGGAAATGTATATACAAATTTACATTATCAATATGTCAAATAAAAAGAATTACTTAATTACTGTGATCTGAGTTTGTTTAATTATAATAGCCTTAATAAAGTTTTATTTGAATCAACGAAATACATATAATGGAAAACTTATCAATTTTGAGCAAGATTCATCTACTAAAAATACAAATACGTAATTAGAAGAAATGTTTAATTATTTTTATAAAACAAATAAGTATTCTACATAAAGTGTAAATGAATTAGTATTCTTGTCTTTTAACGAGATCCATTTTTTAACAACAAAAATCTGCCAGTGTATCATATTTTAACTATATATTTTTTATGCGAAATAATTTGGCAACGTCGCTGAAACTTAACTCCCTCTCTCTGACAATATAACTGGTGCCTAGCAACCAGTGAGGTCAACAAACGAGGTCAAATTGCAAACTATCTGCACAAGAAAATTCAAAAGATATTATTAATGGAATGGCATATTAAAATATCACATACGTATTAATAATGTAAAATTATACTGCAATTTTCAATTACAACATATGTTTTCTTTTTTCCATTTTTGTAAAGTATTATTTTATCATTGTTAACTTAACCGAATGCTTAAAGAAACTCCTTTGTTGCCAAGCATTACACGGCTCTCATCGTTTTATGATGCTGAACATGAGTTGCCAGGGAAAGTCGGCAATACTATAACACTAAAATTTCTCTGTTTTCATCTCTATTCATTTTAACTGCGTTATTTATTGATTATTCATTTATGTTGCAGTGAACATAAGTCTAGTTGAAGTTATGACTTGCTCATTAACATTTCGTCATTTGAATAATCCATTCGACATCGAGGTGAGGATTAAAGGTTTCGCTCGGTTGCAGTCACAGTCTCACAGTTGTTTCGCTGCTAAAGAAAAGCTTGAAAAGCTTCCTATTAACCAGAGCCACCACCGAAACCTTTATCTTTTTCTCCCCTACTACCCATGCATGCAATGAGTATAACTTGAACGAACCTCATCAGAAGAGGCTTGCAGAGGCTTGAGCTTAGAAAGTTGTGCGCAACTCGCACTGAAACCAGATTCGTGGGAGGAAGTGGCGAAGGGGGAGGAGTAGTCAGGGATGTTGGGTCAACGTACGTATCCAAGTATCCCCTTTCTCCTTGCATCAAGTTAGACCGCTACTATATCGTGGTGAACTCGCTCCTCCATAAAGGCGATTACCTTTCTGCGCACACCAGCATGGCCGCTGCGCACACTAGTAGGAGTCGCCAACCGAAGGATGAGAAGTTCATGGTAGGGATGAAATCAATAGTCAAGTATTCCATGGAATGAGAATATCAACTGGATATACATATATTTAGCTATTCAATTGCTTGAGCTTTATTCATCGGAAATGAAGTGGCGGAAATAGTCGGAAGTGAACTTCCAGCGTGACAGTAATTGAATGTTTTCTTTTTGTTTCTATAAGGACATTTGACCTTGCACAGCTGACTATACAGAATGGAGCGTTAATACTAATATGACTATAATAGTGAATGCTTATACATAAAATGACAAACTAATGCAATACCATATTATTTAACGTATGTCAATATACAATATAAATTATGTGATTTAAAAAAAAAACGGGTGAGTTGAAAATATGGGCGTGGCAGAAATACTAGGTATGTGACTTTTGCTTTCATACAAAACAAGAATCAATCATGGAATTCTGGTTGATCTAAATATAGAATTCCAAGTACGGGTTGTTTGAGTATTTCCACAGAATATAGCACACAACCTGTTACGATCAATAGACGCCAGATTCGGCCGTTTTCGACATGTTCCGTTAAGTTCCCCTACTATATTCGTTCTTGTCGACTTCCAACCATTCTTGCCACGCCTTGTTCACGTACGTTTTTCCAATCAAACCGGTTATATTAAGTACGAAGGTTCTGATGTATACTTTATTACAAAGTAAGGGTGTACTCTGAAAAGCTCCAATACCATTACATCAACGTTGAATCTCGGTGTTTTCCCATTTTATGAATTACGACATACATATAAATTGAAGGTATCTAATGCTTATAATAAAATAAAGAATGAAATTTGTTATACCTGTGTAATAAATTTAAAATAGGTAAAGCAATATTCATATTTCGGAATACGTAAATATATATTTCACTACGATGGAATAGAGGGTTACGTAGTGTTTCCGTAAATCGTAATACTCTAAAACCAGCAGGAACTATGGTTATAAATCGTCGCAGCTGCATCAAATAGTTAGGTACAATGAATGACAGGTAGCAATTGGACAGTTAACGTTGACGATTTTGTTGGAGAATTGTATGGACTGAGAGATACCGTGGAACATTGGAGGGATAGTCAAAAGAAAGAGGGGGCAGAAGTAGGAGAAAGAGGACGGTATCGAAAAATAAAATAAGAGAACTCGTTAGCGAAAGAGGGACAGGAACAGATGCTGGTTCATGAGGGAATGAGAAGAAAAATCATGAAGAGGGGATGAACGGGGGGGAGCGAGGAGGATGACAGAGAGCTTTACAGTGACGTTCGAAATGCGCCTGCGTCGAATGTACTTGCTATGAGCGGATTGGCTCCCTACTCATACTTGAGTGCGCGTTAGGTTGACTTAATTTCAATTCGAGCTCCTTCTCTACTTCCCCCTTCTCTTTTCGTTCAAACATACATCTCGGTTCGGTCCCTTTTGTATTTGTTGGATTTTGCTCGAAGGGCATACGCGATGGCGCAACACGCTTCCCGTGTATATTTTAACTAGGTGTATGCGGCGGAAGTGAACCCTCTGATTTCTGATAAAAACAGATGCAGTAGTGGAAGTAAGAAGATCAACAAGACATCATAAAAAGACAGAGAAACCGAGAGGGGGGGGAAGGGAAGTGGATAAAGGTGGTGATGGTAGTGCAGCGGAGGAGAAGTTAGAGACACGAAGAAACAGAACGTCGAAAAGTGCGGAGAGGAGAAGAGAGGGAAGGCCGGCATTTGCAGTGGTCGGCGCACGCTACCCTGTTCGCGCGCGCGCGCGTCTTTACAAAACAACGTATCTGAACACTGAACCGTCGCTGAACGCGCCTCAACAGTTCGGCACGAATTCACACTGAGTTGATTATCCTGTCCGACGCGCGGGTTTCATCGCGGCGCCGCCATATTGGCGGCTCGATATAACACGTACTAATAATAAGTTCAAATTGGGTACGGTAGACATCGCAGTTGACACGCCGATTTTTATCTCGATTGAATGTTACAACAGAAATGTGCCATAAACAGCGCAGTGATCATGTCAACAATTGGCAGCCATACTTGACTAATAATCCAAGAAACCCGGGAGAAACTTCATCGTCTCACTAACGACAGAACTATATATACGGTTTTTTCTCTCTTTCTAATCCTCGTATGAATCGAATGAGATCGTGACTTAGGTATTCAAATTCGAACATAAATATTACATGCCGACACGGTGTCACGATAGTCACCGATTGTTACACGTAACTCACACCGTTTTTACTTACACTTACACGATTAACGTAATGAAGATTGGCGAATGTCGAAATTTTGCTTCGCGATTGTTTAATTGACCTTGTTTTCATTCAACACGGCTCAATCGTAAACACTAATGACCGTTCTTCCATAAGTTTGGCATTCTTTCGCGGGACTTTGGTTAACTATTTGTTTTTATAGTGATTAAACAAACATTACGCAGAACGTGTGAACTATTAATTGTCACAACGAATCATAAAAAGTGTAAATCGTTATCGGTAAATTTTCCCGCCACATTCGTTAGTGGACAATTGTTCAGATCAAGATAAATTCTCTTGTTAATATCCTCATACAATTTACATTGTTGATAACAATGCCTGTAAGTATTACATAAGAAATAATAAAAATTGTTATTTGTAAAAAAATCATGTGATATTTATGTTGTTCCATGATAAAAAGAAAAATAATAATTTTGTGTACAGATTGGAAATGAACAGTTCTTTGGATCAAGACTTTAAGGGATTTAGATTTACTGACGAAAGGAATAATTGTAAGGGTGATGCAGTCGACAATGTACAAACATTTGGTATGTTCTCTTCTAAAATAATAAGTGTGATATATCATGAGACAAATTATAGACAAGAATCTGACAATGTAACATGCTTAACAGATAATATTAAAACTCAGTGAAACTTATTTTAATTAATCCAATGCAACAATATTAGTGTCTAATTTCTTATTTACTTTTATAAATTTAATACATTGGTATCGTGCAATTCTTATTCTCATTTTCATTAGAAAAAGATGTATGTTACAATGTTTTATGTTTTTATTTTAAGAAACATGATTTAAATACCTTCACTTCTGCATATGCAGGGAATATTTGGAAACCTAAATTAAAAATCAACGAATAAAAATTTATTCAAATTTATTTGTTCATGTACAATATAAACTAACCATCAATTTATGCAATACACATATCTTACAAAAATGCAGTATGTATTAAATACAATATGTGCATTTAACATTTTTAGTAAAAGGTTAGGATTCTGTTGATAATCAGCAGTATGAAAAACTACAAAAATACATAATTCCAACTTACATTTCTATTTCATTTTGACGAAATACATACGAATTCCACGTCTTTCCCTTCATGAAATTTAAATGAAGAAGTTTCTGCCAAGTGTCCTTCCACTTTTTTCAATTTGCTTAATTGAATATGAACAAGTTAGTCGGTTCCTTCGTTCGTATAAGCAATACGAATTACAGTGATCTCGAATCGCGACTGGTAAAAAGCAGTTTATGGATGTTCGCAATGCTGTCGCGTCGAAACGCAATTGATACGAGCGACTTTTCGGCGGGAATTTCGCGATAATACGAAACGAGCCAATGATATTCGTTCTTTAGGCTTTATCGATTGGAGAGTCCTGTTTTCAATTCTCGGCAAAAGCAAGAGCAATTATATCGCTCGCGCTAGGTTGCTGCACAACCATTTTGCATGAACACTTGCTGTTGCTGCATATACATCGGCATCGATTGTTTACATCTGTTGTAACACGGGGAACGCGGTTTGATACATCTAGCAAACCTCCGAAATGAGAAAAGTGCACTGATATTGTTGATGTGTAACGTTCACGAATGTAAAATAGACGACGATATAAGTTTAATGGATTTGACAGAAGATACGAAAGCGCGGTAAATTACCAAGTCGACATTCTTATCCGCGATTTTTCTTGACGAAGTGGTTAGATATTTCATCTTCGCGCTTATTCTTTGTTTTTACATAAAGAAAAACTTTCGCCACAAAATAATAGTGGTATATTGTAAAATTAACGAATGGTGCAGTGTAAAGTTGGAGTTACTTATTGGATATATTTTGTTTCAGATGAGCACGTAAATGGTCAAAGTTCGATATTTACCTTAAGCTCTTCAATACTAAACTGTGAAATTTGTGGCGAACAATTTGTGTCAAAAAAGGAACTACGTTCTCACATATATAGTCACTTGGGAACACCTCGTGTGATTCTCAGAAGGCTCACCAATTTGAAAGCTATAAAGAAGAAGCATAACAATAGCTATTGGCTGGATCCAGAAAAGAAGGGTTCTCTGAAATTAACATTGAAGAAACAAAATTTTACCGACTCCCTAAAACTTACATTGAAAAAATCTTCAGAGTCCGAAGATTTCACAGTTGTAAATAGCAACATTAATCTCAGTACAGAGATTCATCATCAAGGAGACGTGGCTGGGACAAAGGAAAATGATCAAAGACATGACAAAGATACAGAAAGATCAATTGGTCAACCGTTTGAAAACGTGATAGTAGAGCAACAGGTATGTTATAATAGTAGACGAGGAAAATGTTTATTGGTATAATCTTCTAAAAGGTGTTGTTGATAGGATGAATATGGGAACATTAAATTCAATACTGATGACCATAATCCATTGGATGAAAATGATAGACCATCGATTGATGTAAATGAAGGTGATTCAGGTGTAGGGAGTGATATGGCAAATCCATCTGAAAAAGAAGATCAAAACGTAGATGATTTACAAAGTGTAGAGCAGTATGAAAATTCTGAAAAAAGACTCTCTGAGACAGAAGATCATGAAGAGTCAGACGCATTGGAAGCAACATGTCGAGAAACAATTGAAAATCTGAAGAAGCTAGGTGAACAATCTGGGTAAATGTTGTATATATATATAGTATTATGTATTTTACATGAAAAAATATCCTCTAGGTTTATCATAATCTTTTGCTGAACTTTTCAGATCTAGATCTATGAGTCAGTTAATTAACAGTTCAGGAATCGAAGAAGAAGACGAGAGGAAGCATGAATCCAACATGATACACGATTTAGAAGAGAACCCAGCGATCAGTATTATTGCAAAGTCTTCAACATATTCGAATCATTCGACGGATTGTACAACAGTGTGCGAAGATGACGTTAAGCCTGGAGAGACAACAGAAGAAACAACAGGCTTCAATTGGAACCAGTTGTCTACTAATCTGTCCAATAAAAATAGCGAGACTTCCAAAGAAACAGAGGAGCAACCTGAACATGGGGGTGATAATAATATTGAAAATGCTGGGTCCCTCTTACAAAACTTGATAGATCATCAACGACATAATCAAAATAATACATTATCAAATAATCTGCCATCAGAAACAGAATATGTTTCATTGGAAAAGTTGGCTGAAACTGTTAGTACCTGTCGCGTCTGTAACGAGAAGTTTAAAGATATCGCTCATTTAGATGAGCATAGAAGCAAAGCTGGCCACTATCAGTGTAATATTCCAGAATGCAGTAATCTTATTTTCAATTCATTAATGGAAGTTTCCATGCATAAGGCTCAGATGCATGGAACACCTCTTTCTCCGAGTGTGAGCCAGTTGTCACCTCATTTGAATACGAATTCGCCTCACTTGAATCAGAATTCGCCCCATTTGAGCCAAGCTTCTCCGCAATTAAGCACGCATTCACCTCATGCGGTTTCAATGGATTCTCCGAACACACCGACCTCGCAGCAAATAAACAGAAATTCGCCTTTAACGTCTCCTCATCAAACGAATTCCCCTACGTACAATCCAGTACCTAGCACTGGACAACAAATAATACCACCAGTTAATTTCGAGCAATTACCCGGACCCGTTCAACAGTTAGCTCAACAAGTACAACGTATGCCACTTCCGCAAGCGCAAATGCCACCGAGTCTTCCACCAGGTGCAAATACAATGATCCCTGGCCCGAATTACTTCGTACAACCGCCGGGAAGGCCACCACTCTATAGAGTTCCTGGTCCACAGGGCATGCATTATCCTCCTCATATAGCACACTTATATCCGCAGTATGGACCTGGTCCGTATCCACAAATGACTGCACCACCACAAATGCATCCTCAATTGTCGCAACAAATGTCACGTGGAAGGTATCCTACTGTTCCACAAAGTAGTCGGCAAGTACTATTTTCATCTATAAATAGGTTCAGAGTATTCTGTAGAAATTAATCCAATTAAACTTCAACAAAGTCATGCGCTATTCAAACTGACGAGTTTCTGTCAGTTAGAGCAGGGGTCGGCAAACTACGGTCCGCCTCCTCTTTTTGTACGGCCCGCGAGGTAAGAATAGATTTTAGAATTTCAAATTTTTAAAAATTTCAAAGTACGCACTATAACGGGTGCTTAGCTATAACGCTCTTAGTGGCTAAAGTATTTACTATTTGGCCCTTTAGAAAAAAAGTTTATCGACCCCTGAGTTAGAGTCATTGCGAATAAAACTGAGTAACGAGATGAACAAACAATATAGTAGAGAATTAACTCAATTTCCTTGATTAGTCAAAACTCGTGAATGTAGGTGTAATTTATACATATTATCGTTGACTTTTTTTTGTAGAGAAACTATTGTGGTATCATGAGGATTCTGGGAATGAAAGATTGAATGAAGTTTCACAGCTCGTGTGATTGATAGTGCGATTGACAGAGCGTTTGGAATGGTGCTAAAGTGGCTCGAGTGAATGTTTACTTCTTAGAATTTCGTAGCCGATAATCGAAACTAAACATCCGCTCGAGCCACTTTCGCACCGTTCCAAATACTCTGTCGACTGCACTAACCCAAGCTGTCAAAGTTCATTCAATCTTTCATTCCCAGAATCTTCATGATACGACACTATTATGTAGTTTAATTCTGGTCTACATATTTATAGGGCACCACGTGCTCCACAGACTGGCCCAAGTCCGCGGCAACGTATGAAACGTCCTATACAACAACCGATGCAGGTACAACAGCAGAATAATTCTGCTATAAAACAACGACGAATGGATGTTCTGTTGCCAGATAGAAACGAAGACGCGGACTGTCACGTTATTGCGCAACAGAAGCGAAATGACGGTCTGCCCGTTATACAAAACGTTCAGGGTGCTACCACGCAACAGAGTAGAAATGATTCTACCATACACCTTACGGATTCTATAACACTTAGCGTACGACAACCAGGTAATTCTGTTATGCGTTTATGTATATATTTTTTCAATTTACATCACGCTTCATGTGTATATACTGGCTTTTTTTTATCTGTTGAAACCTCTTCTAAGAATTAGTTTTATTATTTCTATACAGTCGTTTTTCATTTCGTATTGATTTTTTTGCTTGTCCGCCTGTCTGTTTAGTTGAATTTATTTCGAAAGTGAATGCACAATAAAAGACATTTCAAGTAACTATTCATGGAAGAGGTCTACTACAGGAATAAAACAATGTATCTTACTAATCTAAAGGTTCCGCTCCAGCTCAAGTGCAGAACACTTCAGGTAGCGGTGGCAAGAAGTCCGATGCAAAAGCTGTGGCTAATGTTCTGGCAGCCAGAGGTATTACTGTTACTCCAGCTGCAAATAAAAATAAGACAAGCGAACAAAACAAACAGCAACAGATACCTTCACAGCAACAAAGGACTATGCCTTCACAGCAGCCTTTAAATGTTACAGCGCTCACTCTGAATTCTGCTATTTCTATCATACCAGCTAGTTCGCAAAAAAAGCAACAGGAACAGGGCCAGTTTGCTGTTCCCCAGAATAAACAGAATAAAACGGCGGTAAATGAAGTGGAAAGACCACCGCGACCCCCTACTGTCGACTTAACACAAGACGGTCCACCGCAATTGCCAGTGGTTAGACGCGGAAGACCACCACGGTAAGATGTACTAAAGAAAGAATTTAGCTGCCCTTCCATATTGACAATCATTGAAAAATGACGATCATTATACACTATTACAGAGCGATGCTTACCTGTCAAGTGTGCGACAAAAATTTCCAGAACCAGGAAATATTGACGCAACATATGGCTACACACCGTGCACCAAGCAAGTTACTTCACAAGTAAGTTCATCGAAAGAGGGGTCCTTACTCTGATAATTAGAGCACTAACAAGGAATAATCTTTGTTTGCTAGGTGTAATCTTTGTCCTGCTCAATATCCAACAGCTCAGGCACTGATAACGCATAAACAAGCGTATCATAAGGAAGTCGATACCGTTGCACAAAACGGCGGTGCAGAACTGGCATTACCAGTTGTCGATTTGAAATCCCCTCATGTGTTGAGTCGTTTGTCGAACCTCGGTATACAAAGTTATATACCGTTGTCGCAGCTTAGCGCCCAAACTGGCGGCTACTTCGGATTGCCCATAATCACGATAGATGGTGCAAGAAATCCTAATACTTGTAATTTAGGCGTGCTTGGTGCTACATCTATTCTAAGTCTGGGCCCTCTTAAACATTTGTCAAACAGGTAACTGTGGACGATTCTGCGGTTGGCCTACGTTTCATGCAATCCTATTAGTATCACCGATCTTTTCGTTGCCAGGTATTTCTTTCTACCAGTATCACTGTATTGTCTGATTGTTACGACAGGTTCTTCCTTGAATTAGACGCTGTAAATGACACGAATTTACGTAGAAAACGATTTTGTTTCTTTTTTTTTGTTTTCATGATTTTGGACGGCTTTACTATATTTTTTTCTGTTCCGTTTATCTAACTATTATTAGTTTATAATAGTCTTAAAGCAATACAGTATTTGTAATGAGGGTTAAAGAGGTGTTCGCGTTATTTTAGAATAATAGAGAACAAGATTTGAGATATACGATCGTAAGAATATTTTTTTTAATAAAGACATTGAATAAAAAAATCTAATCGAACCGTATTCTTGAGAAGTAACTCTTTGAAAATGTACGGCACAGGTAAACTGTCGTTCCATGAAATAGTACCATGTTCTCGCTGACATAATAAAAAATTATACTTTGAACGTTCCATTATACCATATACGAAACAGATACTGTCCTGTCGTGCACGATATTAAAGGAAAGATTTTATTGATTTTTACACACCGGAAAAGCACGATACTTTTGAATGAATGTATTGCGTGATACATTCTTTCAAATCTGATATTGGGAACACTAAATGTGTACACGTGAATATACGTACCGCAATGAGAGTTACTAAAGTACCTAATAGGTAGATTCGTTCAGCTAAGGAAAGAGAAAAAAATCGGATATAACTTACTTACCCTGGATACTTTAAAAGATTCTCCGAACAGTAAATCATATTATTATTATGCAGTGTTATTAAATCACGTCCGTTTTTTGAATGAAAGATATAATTTATATACGATGAAACGTGCAGTGATAATTAAGGTAAAGAAATAATTATTTTATCAAATGGTTTTGGTTTATAATTCAACAATAAATTACTGAGGCGCACTACTGACTGTAAATATATTTTGTAAGAAGGAGAAAGAATAGATCGAAGCATATGCTCGTTTATACATGAAATGTCTTTAAAAAAAAATGATAATTCTGTAAGTGATACTTAAAACAGCCAATATTAAGTATAATTCTCATTGATATCATACACATCTTTATTTATTATCATTCCTGTTGAAACAATGCTGTCTGTAAATAACTATCACTCTTTGTGTACTGTGTACATTTTAAAGTAAGCAATCCGTTCCGTTTAAATTATAGAGTATAAAAGAAACGGTTACTAAACGCGCAAGAACTGATTTAAAATAACAACATTGTATATATTTGTATGATAATAAAAGAGAACAATGAATTATATGACAATTTCAGTGAAATCCAGTTAGTTATGCAGCTAATACATAGGGCATTATATTGTTCTTCGTTTACGGTAAATTCTGTAAGTTTGAAAAGCTTTATTATTGAATATTAAGAATATTAACTTTAGGAGTTGATTTGTTTGTTAGTTTTTTGAAGAAAATGGTTTTAAGGGAACTAATCATGAAAATCTTGGAAATATTGTGGTAATTCTTTAAACAAAAAGAATGAAATAAATCTTTGAAACGTTTGATATTAATGATTCAATATATTTCCTCTCCAACTTAATTTTAACCTGCAAATTTAAAAGTTTTAACTTTTGTTTCTCCACCTTCGGTAGTTGCCACTTCAGCGCGGGACTTTGCAAGAGTACATGCTCTAGGAGTTTACTGATTATGAGATAAATGTAATTACACTTTTATTCATATAATATTGTAATTCTACCGGTTTATACAGACGTTAGTATGAACTCTAATGGTAATTTCGATGAATGATTTCATACTTTCTCAGTTCAAGTGTTTTAAATATTCGAAATTGATGTATGAGATTCAAGTTACTGACAAATACACGTGTACGTTAGCATGTAAATTCGAGGCGTCCAATTGGTGCTCACGAGCAAGTATTCCCCTCCGGAGTTACCCTCACTATGGGACTCAGCTGTCCCGCGTGCTCCCGTATCTCATGCGTCGTCAAGTCGCGGTTCGAGCGTGTCTTGAATGTGTTTGAATTGTTTGAACGTGTCAGCCAGCTAGAGCCTCATAGTGGGGGTAACTTCGGCGGGGAATAGTCGTTTGTGAGCGCCAGTTGGGCATCTCTAAATTGTAAATATACGCACGCGCGAATGCAATTCATATTTAGCAATATTTAGAGGGTGTCCTGTCACTGAACTTACAGACAGCACCCAAAAGATATAATTCAGATTATCTTGTTTCATTCAATTCATACTCATTACTACTGAGTTTTTTATTGTAAATGTCTCGGCAGACTTCGTATTCATTTGCAAGTAAACGATTCTACATGGCGTTCTAACCTTCCCTCGGATTTATTTATCATCAATTTTATGGTTCATCTTCTTATTCTATATACAGTCTAATCTCATATTTGTATCGTTATTATCAACATTGTGTGTCATTATTGCAGATACTTCATTTGCATTAGTTCGAAGAATTCGGTATGAGTGCTACTTTAAGTTCAAAGGCTGAGCACTATTTTTATAGTATAAACTCTTTGGCCCGAAGAATAGGGGAAGATATTACAGCAACAAAGGAAGCCTACGAGGGTTTATGGAACACTTTAAGCACAGCAGAACGTAATCAAGCAATCAATGAAACCATTATTCAGCCAGAAGTAGCATTGAAGTATACTTTGAAGAAAGTTGAATTTACTAAAGAGTTGCCAGAATGGTATCCAAAGTTACGCATTCAGACTGGCATGAAATATGTAATTGACGAGACCGGTTCAGTAAGTACAACATTATTTTTATAATAATAGGTGCCATTTGTAATACATTGAATTTGGAATAACATAATATTGTACCGATTGAAATTCCTTTAGCTAACGAAAAATACTAATTTCAATTTGTTTAGCTAAATGGAATTTGTGTTATTCTAATATTATAGACATTACGATGGAGGGATGAACATTCAGCTCCATTTTCATTTATGACTCAATCTCAAATGAATCTGAGTATAATAGATTCTACCGAAGATGCAAAGTTTAAGTTAGTAAGGGCTCAATTTGGAGACTCACCACATTTCTCGAGCCCATCAAAATCACAGAGAAACAATACAAACTCAATTAACGATACTTATGCTTCACATCCAGTTAGTTGCTTTCAGACTGATTGTTACACAAATAGTATTTATGAGGATGAACAGTGCAGTAGCTTATTGAAAAGCAGTGGTGACAGTGATCATTCTGAAAGTATATTTGCTAAATTAATGAACAAAACTGCGTTATTGAAGTTACAAAATAGTATAGATGATGATATGGAGAGTTTAGTCAGGGAGAGGGACTCAGACACTGATAAGAGTCAGTCAAATACATTAGTTGTAATGTCACGCACAAAATCCAGTGATATTAATGAGTCGACAGCATTGTTAGAGACACCTAGTTCTTACAGCAGCTTCCAATCTTCTCAACTTAATCAGGACGATGAGGAAAGAGCTATACCAAAGACTGGTTTTGAATTTCTTGATAACTGGTAGATGAGTATTCGATTTAATCTGCTTCAATTAAACTTAGTATCACAGTTATCATTATAAGATTGTGTTAGTAAGTGTTTTTATAACTTTAGTTCCTAAACGAATAATGTTATGGCAGTGCAGATTAATATTGCTTAATATATCAAATTTGTTTCTTAAGGTATACATTCAGCACCTATATGAACAACATTAGTTACGATCTCAAATCATAGTTCTATACAATAATTCTGCTATGAAAAGTGTGCTAGTTAGAGTATAAGTATAATATTAGAAACAAATAATAATCAGGGGTAAAAAATATGCATATCGAATTTAATAAAGTATATGCAAACTCTTTGTTGCCGTAATGTAAAAAAATTTTTATAAAGACATTATACATAATTTTTTTTATAAATATTGTTAAAATAATTAGAAATATGACAACAGTACTGTTTTTTTTATAAGTATTTAATGTTTTGACAGTTGTTTTACAAATGCTTTTTTATTTAAGCAACAGTTTTGCAAGTTTCTTCCCAAGACAATTATTAATTATCACCATTTAGTAATCTCTCAGATATGACAAAAAGTATTCAACCAAGACTGAAGAGGCTATTTCATTTAATTTTATATAATTCATTACCAATGTAGTTCTTGAACAAACAATAGTGATAAGTTTTATACAAAACAATTATTAATACAGTAATCTGTATAGAATAACATTGCTAATTTCTGGGTGCATTATAATAATTGTGAATTCCTAGTATACATACACTTGCCGTTCTATGAATTATGAATGAACAAAAAAATGTAACATTGTAGTGTAAGAATGTGTATGTTGCTTGTGTGGAATGGATTGCGTCTGTCTACGTTTGATAATGTCTGTCGAGTCATTGTTAGTAAAAAAAAAACGCGTATATATTTATATATATATACATGGTACAGTATTGAAGCATTTATTATCGTATTGAAATACATGAACTCATGTATCGCAGTTGCATTTTTCAATGAACACAGATCCATTGCTTATTCCAATGTCCAGTCCATTCTCGGTGGTCCTTTGAAAGTCCAGCTTTTAAGTAGTCCAAAACCCGGAAAGCCATACTAACATTAACGAAAACCAGAAGTATTGAAAGAAAGTGTTTTAACATATCCGATTTTTTAGAGAATATTTAAACACACCTTCTGTTCTAGGCGATTGAATAATAGTTATATTTTCGTCACCGCCGCCAATTTTCCCAATCTTCGAGTTGTTGTAATAGCCGAAGATGTTTCTGTTTGCCTGGGCGATACAATAGAACTCTTCCAGGTCGGTTGTTCTCGTCAACTTGGCTTCTGATTCTTTCTCATAGGGTGACACCAGTATCAGACGCCTTTTTGACGAGGCTCGTACTGAAACTGGAACGTTTCTTTCACGGTTCTTATTACAGACAAACCGGTAACATTCTTTTCAACGGATATTCATAAACTGTAATAATTGTTCGTTGAATCACGCATAGGATGGGACATGCAATAATATCATTCGAAAAATTGTCTCTTTAATGTTCAGTGAACTTTGTTGCATAGGAAAATATTTTACGGTCGTACTGGTACAAGAAACATGTTGTTCGATTCAATGCCTGAAATACGTGAAATTTCTTGTAAAAAAGATACAATTGTATCCCACACTATGCGAGAATTTCCGAAAATGTGGCATGGTAATATTTACCATTTCTGTTGATCCTATCACCTGATGCACCCTTAGATGTGTTTTTCGATCCGTAAGAGATTTTTTGGGACAGCGTGGTCAGACTTTTCGAAACGATGGCCGATCGAGCGTACTTATCGGTCGGGGTTCGTCCGGGCGTTCCCGTTTCGCTTCTATTATCAGTCTGCGCGAAATTAACTTGCTGTTGTGGAAATGTATCTAGGAAATTTATTAAGGATCATTGAGTTCGTTCCACTGTTAAATTTCTACGAATTGTGATTGATCACAGAAGAAACCAAATATACAGAGCGCCTCTTAAAATGTACCCAGAATATTTCAGATTGGGTATATTCATTGAGTCCCAAAAAAGAAGTATGTATTAGTGAACATAGACAACACTTTGTTTACTGCAAATTAAGTGTTCCAACGTTTTCGAATAGTCTCGTACAAAAAAACAGTCTTTTTCTGAAATTATATGACGCCTAATGACTTCTAAGTCCCTCCGACCCCGTGACGCAAAGAACGCGTTAAGCTCAACGAGCATTACATGACCTATCAAATCCGATCACCACTCGAGAACATAAACTTTTGGCGTTGAACGAAAGTAAGTTTATAACTGACGATAATAGCGGTGAACCTTTTTTCACCTTTTTCGTCGACGTTCACGGGGCTGCATCTCCCGAAACCGGAACACTTTCGCCCGTCCAAGCAGTTCGCGTCCTTGGAGGCTCTCGTGGGATCCGTTTCGATGTCTTTGTCGGCCGGCGGCGGTACTCGCGAAACCGTGGACTCTTCTGGCGCGTTTCCGCTGCATCTGTATTGTTCCATCGCCTGACGCTCAAGCTCCTACATTGAAATTGCCCTCCCCCATTTGTTAATACAACAGCCCGCAAAAACGGTCTTCGATACGAGAAATCGCCTAAGGTAAAGAGATAACATCGTACTTGGTATTTGAGCGCGAGAGACTCTTCCGAGGTCCTGTACTGTTCCATCGCTTGTTGCTCCAGTTCGTCGAACCTGATCGTCAGAAACACAACAGCCATATGTAATTATTTTTAGAGGTTGAACAAAATCATCGACGTTGCTTCGTCTCGCGACTTAAACGAATTCCAAATTAAAAAAAATGATGACTTAAACCACCCTGAATTCCACGTGGACTACATCATATCCCATATTGAACAAAATCCCAGAGATCGAGGGAAAAGAGTCATCGATTTGGGGTGTAACGACCCTATTACCTTTTCTCGAACACGTTCTCCAACATGGCGTGATTCACGGCGGTGTTCGCCAGAACGTCCCTGTACAGTCTTCGTCTGCTTCGAGTCTCGTTTCTCTCCCTCTCGTTGGTCGTTCTTGTGCATGTTGTCCCTTGAATTCCTGCCGCTTCCGGTTTTGAACGGTCCCCATTTTTCGAACTGTTGTCCTTCTCCCGTCTGGAAGTACTCCCGGCAGCTTTTCTGTCGGCCTCTGTCTCCGTGCACCGTGGCTCGGTCGGTAAAAGCGTACTCTTCGCTGCATGTTCTTTCGTTCTCGGCGGGTAACTCTTGTCCAACCACTGAAGCACTTCCGAGTCTGATCTGCCGCCACGATTCTTCGTCTCTGTGACGTACGTGGTGGGTCGTTGCTGTTGGGCACCTGATTGTTTCGCGAGGCCACGGTGCGTCTTCATCGCGTTCTTCGTCAACAATATCAGATTCTTAAAGTCGACACCCTGATTCTTTCGTTTCTGCCCGGCCGCGGTCTCGTGATACAGCTCGATCGGGTGCTGGTAAACCGGTATCGGTATCGGGCTCGATTGCAAAAACTTCTCCTGAACCTGCAGGGGATGATGGGTGATCGTAGCCCGCAATGGCTGCACCGTCGCGCACATCGACGCGGCGGCGGATGAGGCGGATTGTATTTGAATCGGCGCCGACGGCGGCGGGATCCTTTGGTACCATTGTTGCGGTGGCCGCACGAACGTGGCGGTCTCTGTGGCCGGCAGCAGGGGTATTCCCGCGCTCTGAAATTCCGAATTTTTCCGATCTCACGTTCACCGTATCCACGAGGCAACACAAGATTCGTTGGTCATCTACCGTACGAATATACAGTCTTCTGTCAATTATTGTCTAACTGGTCTACTGATAACCCTCGTATTTGTTGTCGAGGCTCGGACTTTGGGAAAAAAACGAATTTACGAGAGTCTGAAACATTTCTCCCTGTTCGAAGTTTGTCGCGACGCGGACGCGAGTTCTGGACAATAATCGACGGAAGTCTGTTTTATTTTATAGGGGATAGGTGCCTGTATGAAGTGTTTCCCTATTTTCCTGTATACCTCGAAAAGTGTAGTATATATAAACGAGACTGTTAGTATAAAAATATAATGACTCTATATGCTTCATAAAACCGCGCAATGGGAATCGTTGAAAATTCGTTGTTTAAAGAAATTTTCAACAATTTGGTTGCACACTTTTGTAAAGCATAAAAAGTCATGTTTTCGTTCTAACCAGTTTTTGGATATCTACTCCAGACTGCAGATTTTTATGGATAAAAACAAAAGTAGGAGTTTCATTTTTCCTGTAAGTATATTGGGTTCAGGAGAAAATAGAAAATTCGTTGCAGCTGATGAAAGTTTTGTGCGTCGTTGTTGAAGACGGCTTAAAGGCGCCTTAGACCTAAAATAGGCGTCCTCAAGGCGTCATGTGCTATCTGGCTATAAATGCATAAACATCCACAGTCCAACTGTATAGCTTTCAAGATATTTGCATCGCGAACCTGGTATATAGTCCCGGCGTGCTCGTGTGTTCTGTTGTAAGGGAACAATTCGTTCTGATAGCTCGTCTCGTTCAGCGACGGGAAATATTGTACTCGATTGTTCGGTTCCTTGGCGGTGTTGTATCGCGTCATCGGGATCTTCGGGAAGAATTCCGGCACTTCCGGGCTTAGTACCGGCGGTGGCGGTGGCGCTGGCGTTAGGTGTTTCCTCGTCATCCCATATGTCTCTGTTCTCGCTGTTTGGTACTCCGCCCTGAGCACCAAAGGTCGATACTGAAACGCGTAATAGAACTGCTGTTGTCGCTCTTTCCCCTGACAATTCTGCTCCCGGGCATTAACAACAGCGGCGGCTGTCTGCTGATGCGACTGATTTTGCAATTGCAAAGAACGAGTCCTCTGCTGACAAACGAATTGCTGACGCCCGTTCCCCGGCGGTCTCCACAGACAGCGAACCGCCTCGCTGGTTACGCGTACGTGAAGCTGCATCTCCATGGGATTCTCGATGGTGTATCGTTGGTACTCGTAACAGTCGTCTGACTTCTGGCTGGGATCCGACTCTTCGAAGATTAATAATCGTTTCGTTACAGAAAGCGGTTCCGATAGATTACGTATTGTTAGATATTATAGTGAGAGCCTCGCGATTATCTGAACGAATGAGGCGGATACAAGGGTTTGGATAAAGGAATGTTTTGGATAATAGAATAATTCTGACAATAAAGTTCATTTTGTTGAAATTTTTATGGATCCCATGTGGGATGTTGTATTACAGAAATTTCCCGATAACGAGGGTTACTTGTGTAGAGTTCGATCGAAAATGAAGAAAGTATAGATCAATACTTATTAACCCTTTGCACTCCAATGGGGTTCCTACAGCAACATACATCACCGTAAATTCTATTTATTATTGATTCAATACAAATTAAATTAACGAACAAAATTTCATTTATAACCACTTGTATATCTTTATTTGAAATGCAGAACTTTTCTTACAGAAGCAGAACGGTAGAATGATTCAGTTAGCATCAAAGAGTCTCGGAGTGCAAAGGGTTAAGTATTTCCAACAGGAGACGGCATCTGTTGTTGGGGGGCCCCATTCGGTTCGAATAACAGAGCGTTTGGATGTTAAGAGTATTTGGATAACGAGTGTTCGGATACAGAAGGCTCTATTGGAGTTATATAAAACAGCTTGTAGATTTTATGGACTTATGCAGACTTTTCGGTTGCGAAACACGTGAGACGCGAGATCGAAAGAGGAGAACGTGCGTCGAGTAGCGCGTGTAATTTGTTTCCATTTTTTGGCTGGATAACATCTTTGATCGGTAATAATATAGTATGGAAATCAGAATTTGCATAAATAACCACAGCTTTCTCGTCATAAAGAATAAACGAATATCGAGCCAGCCGAGGACCGTCTTAAAAGCAACCATGAAAGGCATCCATGCTTGGGATTCCGATATGGCCGCCATTTTCTCTTACGCAACGCCCCAAGCCGCGCCGTAGATGCAATTCCCGCGTTCCTTGCGGTAGGTACATATAAATTTACGTTCCTGATGTCATTTCAATCATTGCATCGTAAAGATAATACTCTCTCGAAATATAAATAGTATATAATCTGAATAAATGTATCCATTAGAATCCAAAAAAACGCTACCAGTCTTTAGTATATCAGTCCTATAATTTTAATATAACGATTTATGGGTTAATCATTACCGATCGGATTCGCCGAATCCTTCGCTGTACGTGATTGCTCGTTTCTCGTCTCGTGACCGGTTCCGATTCTTTTTTCGGTCGGGCTCCGTTTCTGCGTTGTCCCTCGTCTACCATGACCGGGCTGCTCCTCGCGATCGGACTTGTAACCGCGTCCGATCTTGGACGTGTAGTCCGGTTCCCTTATCGTCGAGCTTCTAAACAACACCAGAATATCCCGAATGGCACGGTTAATACTTCTACCGTGTCGATATAAAACGATCCCGATCGGTCGACGTTCACGGAAGCTAACAATTCACGATTCGTCCGGGCGCAGCTCGATGTTAACCAGGCGAATAACTTCTCGACGTCCGGCAACATCCATGGCTCGGTGACTTCCGTCCAACGGAAGCTCGGCAACGGCGGTACATTAGTGGGCGCGACATTTTCACGTGTTTTGTAAACGGTTTCACGGTCCTCGTTGTATTCGTGATCGGCGTACGCGGCCAAACGGGATTCCGGGATCACGTCGTGAACACGCTTCGGTTGTGGATCACCTGTCCTTGTTGTTGTCGTTATCGTCGTCGTCGTTGTCGTTGTCTCTTTGTATTTTGCTGTCAGCTTGCAATACTGGAAACGGAATTCTGAATACGGTGCTGTGAAACAGTGCGATCTTTAAACGAGGATGTATCGCGGTTGTTCTCTAACCCTACATTTTTATTTGAATTATAATAACTTATTATTCAACAAATACATTCGATCAAACGACGTAAATTGGTTATAGAGGACGAGTTATAGTAGTGGTCCATTACGGCCGAGATGGTAAAAATTCGAAAGAGTATCGTACTGAAATATGGGAACCCAGATAGCACACAGACGGCTTAATGACGGGTTAAAGGCGTCTCAGATCCCAAATAGCCGTAAAATGGGCGTTTTCAAGGCGTCATGTGCTATCTGGGAAGGGGATCGCCGTTCGATTTTTCGATCGTTCGTGTATGGTGAAATATCAATTGCGTTTTTTACCTGATGCCACAAAGATCGATTCAACTTTCGAAACGGATCCTCCTTGTCGAAGGTCCAGGCTTTGTCGGCAATTAGGCTAATGTTCGCATAGGCGCTGTTCAAAAGCTCTTCGTCGTATGACGGGAATGATGATATCATTATCCGAACATGCTAACCGATCGTAAATTCGTAATTTAGTAATCAATTAGAGTGTAGATTTCAATGATTTCTCCCGTTGTTCGTCAGCCCCTGTCGCGAATGTATATTGTCACCGACGAGTAAGGAATATTACTTTCGTTATCGATGAAAAATGAATCGGTGTCTGCGATCGGACGGGTCATTTAATTGACGGCTCGTCGATTTCCTTCGGACAAAATATCGAATCGATAGGAAGAATCGAAGGCGCGTTCAGGCCGGAGCACGAGCTCGTTATTCCACGGAGAATATTTTAGCTGGATTATTAATCGATCCGAAATTATCCTTGTGATTCTGTATTAATCAACGATTACGTACTTATCTTTTACGCGGTGTTATTCGATCGCTGGTACGATTATTTGTCGTGTGTTGTTCATATAAATTTCACGTTATTAGACTCGGTTCACGGCGTGAAGGCAATCGAAGATCGATGTGTCGTTCCTACCTAAGAAATCGGCGAAATATTTCACTCAAGAATTTAAATATACAGGGTATCTTATCTTCAAATATCTTTTACATATTATTGTGAAAACGCAAAAACTATTTTATACGTAATTTGAATGGTATTACGTGGTTAGTATCCTGTAGGCGTTGTTTTTTTCTGGAAGTTTTCAAGGTCATCGATGTTTTTTTCCAAATACATACTTATTTCTTCCTTTTGTATCTCGTAGTTTGTGAAAAATTACATCCAGATATATACTATGATATGACCTTCAAATGACCTGTAGTTATTTGAAGGAAAAAATATCGTTGACCATGAAAACTTGAAGAAAAAAAACAATGCCTGCAGGATACCGACCACTTAATACCATTCAAATTACGTGTAAAATATTTTTTACGTTTTCACAATTAAAAAAGATACTCGGAGGTTCACGCTTAAAGGAAACACCCTTTATATGTATCCAGTGTACGAGATGAGAATCTGTTTAAAAATTACATAATGATCATAACGATAAAATGACAGGGGACTGGGTGGGAAGCAAACAAGATCCGTGAATTAATTTTCTTACAAATGTCTTGTTTATTACAAATACGTTGATAAAGTCGTACACGCGGCTCATTCACACATTTTGTACAGATCAGGCGTACGTAAATATATTTACAACAAAAATAAAAACGGGTTTCGCGTAATTTACAAAGAAAATTTCGGCTGATCGACGGCGAAGAAAAAGCTAAAGTCTCCTACGGGATAGCACTTCGAGAACGCGAATGAAGTCAGTCTGCACGTGCGCTCCGTTCAACGTTTTCGATCTCCATTTTACCGAACGAAGAACAAAAAAGAAACGATGGGAAAACTCCCCGCGATTTCGGGTGGACTCGATGGAGAACGTTGAACCAAGGGGTAAGGTAAATGTACCAATGAATGAGCATTTAAGAGATTTTGCAACTATATAAAGACAAATTTTAAATGGTAATGATATTAATAAATATTTGGCACATGAAAATACGCTTTTTTAATATCTCTACCTTTTTGTGACGTATAGATTTCAATTTGGAAAATTGGAGAAATGTAATCGTCTAAATTAAAAAGAAAAAAGTACATATTTCATCGGTAAATGAACAATATTTTAAGTAAATAACCACTTTAACCTTGTGGCGCGAAAAATTGTTTGAATATGAAACAAAGAAATGGAAAAAGTCAATATTTAACCATTTACTGATTTTAAAACTTAATTTACTGGTTTATGTTCATTCACTGGTACATGTTCATTTACTGGTGCATTCACCTTATATGTATACTTTCCGTATAGTCGTCGCAAAAGCCCGGGAACACGACGCCATTTTGTTCGTTTACGACGCTATTTTGTCGGCTTTCGAGGCGATCTCGTTTGGTTATCGCGCGACCGTATCGAGATCGTTCGGCGCGGCGAAATTGCGATTATATATGTACACGAGTTGTCAACTAAAAAATCTAATATTCGATACATCGTTCGTAGTTGCTCGATACAGTCGCGTGATGCCTTGGTCGGCGACGAATTCGCAATGAAGGGAGGGTGGGAGAAGGGGAAATTTGTCGATTGACCGCAAAACTTAAACCCCACAAGGCGTCTGTCAATTCGCAGCGATTCAATGAGAAAAAAACAAAGGTTCGTCCATCAAGAGTCCCGTTTGTTGTTTTCATTGCCGACACCATGGACTATTTACAAAATTCACAATCCCGATGCGATCGATCCAAGAACGTTCGACCGACAAAAATCGCTTGGAAGATCCTTATTAATTATGGCAAGACCTCGGAGTGTACTTACATATAACACGCCTCGGTTCTGACTCAGATTTCGCGTACCGTCCGCAGAACCAGAGAGTAACGGGTAACGGATTCGCTTAAAAAAAAAGAAACCTAGGAACGTCCATCGTTCGTGCGTGTTCCGATTACTTTATGGCTTCACGATCATCGACGATCGAAGCGTATATCGCTATCAGTTCATCGGTCACCATGGCTTTTGTTTTTTTTTTGGTCGTTGCATGCTTTCCTCGAGAGCCACTTCGTAGAGATTCATCAATTCGGAAACACACTTTATCGGGCTTTTCGCGAAGGTCGATTCACGATCGTTCTACGATATTCGAATGGTGGTTCAGTAGAGTCTGAACACCTTGCTACCACTACAACGTCCATTTTCTTCCTCCACTATGTGTTCCCCCACATTAATTCCCACTTTCCTACCCGAGAAATAAACAGAGAGATGATCGATCACGAACCAGTCGAGTAGTTTCCGTACAATTGGAACCGCTATCTCTCTAACGGGGTTTCCACACTGGAGACTCGGCCAAAAATGCAGTTCATAAAGTGTAAAAATGTTAATTCGCGATAACTGCTCCCGAGTTTCGAGCACTTACCGAGAACTTTCATCGTTCAGACGTATTCCTCGGACGGTTTCGGTATGTTCGCCGGCAGTCTGAGCGTGCTCGGTACACGGTTCGCGCTGTCCGGTAGCTCCGCGATGTCGATGAACACGCCCACCAGACTATCGAAATTCAGTCCCCAGTTGAGCAGATAGTCCCAGCTGAGAGCAGTAGTAGTGGTGGTGGTCGAAGGTGAACCATTATTCGACGGCCTGTAGAGCCCAACCATGTGCGTGGATAGATCGTCGTCGGACGCGACCAAGGTGCTCAGGGATCCACGGAACGAGCTGTCGAAACCATCGTAGTTCACATTCGGCGGCAACGGTGGTTTCGTAGTCTGCGAGGACTCGTTTCCCCGTTGGTTCACATCCTCATCATCTTGCTTGGCGAATGGATTATCCGAACGCTTATCACCAACCAACGATGTATTATCGTACTCCGAGCACGTGAAACTGTCGTTACCACTCTCGTCGGTGGTCGACGAGTTTCGACGCTCGAGTCTTTCGACCGGTGGCGTGTGTCGCCTATGAAGATGCAGTGGACCGTGTGTCGGTGGTCCCCTAGCCTCGCTAGACGAGCTGACAGCATCTAGAGTGGACACTAGGCTGGAGGTCCTGGGCCTCGAATTCAATCTCTCGATCTCTTCAGCGGTGAGTCCCATCGGTCCCGAGGAGACATTGTTCACGGAGTTCTCATTGTTCGATTGGGGGGCCTTTCGACTGGCCGTCGAGCCGGACAGTTGGCTCATGATCGGCGAGTTCAGGCTTCTTTCGCTATTCGAGTTCAGAGCGTCTTTACCGACACCTCCCGACGACGAGGTGGTAGCCAGTAGGGCGCTTTGCAACGGTTTCCCGCTGATGTCGTGCAACGTCAGGATCCTCGGTTGTTGGGCGGACAGCTCGCTGCTGGGCGACAACCTGGCCAACGGTGTGCTTTGCAGCAACTTCTGCGTCGGTCCAGACGGTTGGCTGACATTCGGTGGGGGTAAGGCTCGGGGTGGAAACGGGCCCGCGTGCCTGTGCTGCTGACCAGTGTGTTTGTGATGGTTCGCGTAGTTGCCTATCGGTGGCGGTGTCGCTTTGTACTTCCTCATACCGTCGCGATAGCCCTTGTAGTGGTAGACGATATCGATGTCGCTGGGTGCGATCGAGCTGGCGTTCTCAAGATCGTAATGCTCCGGCATGTCAGGTTCGGGATTGTGCTCGTGCGAGTGCAAAGATGTTTGGGCTGGCGGTGGCAGGGGTGGATGTTCATCTCGGATAGGTGGTGACTTGGTCACTTCTCTCTCGATTATATCTGGCCGTTGGGGTCGATGTTCCGAGCTGGCGTTGATCTCCCTCTCTTTGTACTTTTTCGAGATCAGTTCTGGGCCCATATGTCCGACACCCCGTAAGTCGGACGTGTCGGAGATGTAGGTGTTCTCGTGTCGGGACATAAGATTGTCGTTGCCCGTGCCGACCAACTGGTTACCGGTCATAATAGCGTTCGTATTCTTGTTCACCACCGACGGGGCGCTCTTCTCCTTGTTCTGACGTCTCAGACGGAACACGATGAAACTGACCAGAATCGCGATCAACAGTATCACGAAGAATACGATTACCAGGGTGATACCGATGCTTAGAGGATCGGCGGTGGCCACTGCGCTTATACCGATCGGTCCACGACAACCGGTGCTCACCTTGCCGTGATACGTGGCCTCTTTGAATATCGAGCCGGTGCCGTTGAAAGGTTGGATTTCGTTGTTCACGGTGAAGTTCGCCAGACAACCCTCGAAACATCTCGCCCCACCGGCGCTCTGAGCGTGATACAGATCCTGGCTGACGCCGCCGATCGATAATACGGAGAGGTAGGGATCGAGAAAGTCGTGCACACCGGCCGAGTCCAGCTCCTCGCCGGTCTGCACGCCGTCGATGAACAGCCTAAGACCGCGGAAGTACGAATGAAGGGTCAGATTGTGCCAGCGTCCGTCCGCCAGACCTCCCTCGATGTTCGCTGACATGTTCACCGGGGAACCGAGAAGGGACGCGTAGAACAGTTGACCGTTTCGTAGCTGCAACAGAATTCACATAACGTTTACGATTTAGACTGTTTACTGTTTACGTAGACATAGAAATTGTAGACTGCGCATCTCCCTGAAAGCGGACGTCCTAAGTTTTACGTCTAAGTGGTGGGGAGTGAAGTTCCGGGGGTCTAGGTTTTGACTAGTCAACTGTATTAGAAAGTGATAGCAAGTCCTTACCTCCACGGACGTGAAGTGTTTGTTCGTCGCTGCGTATATGAGAATCCCGTCCTGTTTCACGGTTCTGAACATCAGCCCGATGGTTTTGAACGGGGACGAATTCGTTATGAAGCTCGTGTCCTCCGCGACGGCTGCTCGTCTCGATCGGTTCTTCTGCCAGACGGTCGATCCACCGTAAAGGTACTCCAACAATTGCATCCTTCTGTGCTTCTCCGAAACCTGTGGAAGAACACGCAATTGGAACATTTCGGTGTAGTTTTGCCCCGGTTCGAGTAACGTACGTGGTGTCCCACCTGACGTGAGCACCTTTAGTATCTCACTTGTTCTTGATTTGCAGAGAATTACACTAATCCCTCTATCGTAGTTATTATATGCATTTGTGGATTTCTCGTACTCAAGGTCACATGAAAGTCGCACTATTACGGGTCATTGGATTGGTCTAGGTGCTCGCGTTAGGTGGGACACCCTGTATACTATGAAACTTGATCGCCTAGAATCTACTAAGATATTAACTCCTTGCCTTATAACATCGAGTGAAATTCGTGGTGACGATATGAAAATGAATTCAACAAACAGAAGTATTATTCGTTTTCGTTGAGTCAATGTGAAATACTAGTTTGCTGATATGAATATTTAAGTTTTAGTGTAAATGTACAATTGCGATAAGTACACGAATTCCTTTTGTTTCTGGGGGAATTACCGATGGTAAAGTTATTTGGGATACTGCAGACATCAAGAAAATCATAAGGCAAGGGGTTAATCGTTTTCGAGACTCTGCGCACCTTGAACTCGACGTATCCATCGTCGCTCAGTGAGACAGGCTCGAGTGCCGTCTCGCAATTCGGCGCTGTGACCGTGCCGCACTGGCAGGTGACCTGGTGCCACTTGTCGAAACACCTGGCGTTTCCGCCGCAAACCGAGACCGTGTCCTTGGGGTCTCTCAGGCAGGGATTCTTGTTCGATCTGATGCAGGTCGACTTGACACCTTTCGACGCCAACGGATTCGACAGATTCAACGCTCTTCAACACACACACACACACGTATTTTCTCGAATAAACCCTTAAGGGATCTTACCACTGTGGTAGCCCTGAAAAATTGTCACTTTTTGGGAATTTCTTTTCAGTGAACGAAATGTTCAACATAAATGATAAATTCAACATAATTATTGAAAGTATAAACAAATTTTTTTGAAACTTTTAATAGTTTTTTTATACATACATATATGTATAGTACGTAAGTAAACACGTTCGAAAAAAAGATGGTGACTAACCCCGTGGGTCCAACGTCGTCCGCGTAACAAGTGCCGTCGCCCGGTCTACAGTCGTCGCATATGTCTCCGTGTTCCCTGCACATCGAGACGCTCAGCGAAACGACACGTCCGTTTCTGGTAGCGGTCACCTTCCGCCATTCTCCGTCCGCCACGGTATGTTCCGTTTTTATTGTGATCGACGTAATCGCGCTTCTCGCCCCGCCGTACGAGAATATGACACGTCCATTCACCAACTCCAACACCACGAAGTCCGATCGTCCACCAGTCTGCGGCGCGTAATTGTACAACAGCAGTGCGTCCGGTTTCGTGGTCGCGAACACGATCGTTATGTCGTTCGTGTTCGAGTCCAGCGCCGGGAACGCCATGTACGAGAGCTCCTCGAATCCGAATGTGGACCGTTCGCAATGCCGTCCGTAGCGACCCTCCGGGCAACTGCATCTATATCTGCACGGAAAATACAATTTTCTATTTATTTCTATCCCCAGATACACGTCAGGAATATACTGCGGATGTATTTATAGCATCTTCTTTTTAACCCTCTACAGCAATGTTTCCTAACTTCTTTTGGACTGTGCCCCATCTCAACATTTTAAAGATGTGGGCATCCTTCCTAGCATAATAGCAAACCAAGTTTTAAAATAGTTTATCATTAATAGCTACTTCAAAGAAACAGGGCACGTAGGTAAAACTGTTGCCGATGAGGTGACGAATGTCAACGATTTGCTAATTGCACCTCAAAATATTCAAATTGCCCCTCGGTGGAGCGTTAACCCCACTGGGGAATCCTCAGTGGAACCAATCATAGTCAAGCGCCCGGTGTTGGGGATGACGTTCGTACAATCATCGATGATTTACTGTATTACTATCTAAAATTCTGAATTTCCATAAACTGCCACGATCTATTCATGGAACCGTCATTACCAAACGATCGAGAAATGCACAATCGTTATCGGAAACTTACCCAGGTTTCTCGCCCACGCACAGACCACCGTAAAGACACGGATTCGGTCTGCAAGAGTCGGTGACCGCCTCACAGTGGTTCCCCCTGTATCCAGCCCGACACAGACAGAAGAAACTAAAACTGTCCGGGCTCTTTCGGCAGGAACCGCCGTTTCTGCACGGATTGCTAGCGCATGCATCGCCACGTTCCAATTCGCAGAGCTTGCCCTCGCGATCGATCGGGCAGGTGCACTGAAAATCGTATCCGAGCCGTCGACACTGTCCACCCTGGAAATGGGGAGGGACCAACGGATTAATATTCGCGGAATCAACGGATCTGTTTTGTTAACCATTTAACGCCCGGACCCTTCGAGGATGTCGATATTAAAAAGACCTATTTTTTCAACTGAAAACTTGGAGATCTAGTTTACATGGTTGAAACTACGGATCCTTGCTGAGAAAAATTAGATATTAACCATCTTCAGAACTTGACGCACTTTTAATGTCGTAGAAGTGCAAGAGACTAGGCGTTAAAAGGTTAAGGAAGAAGTGTCTCGAGACGTGTACCAATAGACATGGATTCGGCGAGCATGGATCTTGCCTCCTCTCGCATCTGTCCCCGGTAAAACCGTCCCGACACTTGCACGTCATCTCGTGCATCATCCTCGGTGACGTGAGTATCAACGCCTGGCTGTCGGTGATCCTAGCGTCCTCGTAGATGACCAGCTTGTCGCTGCAACCGCCACCGTTCTCGCACGGTATATGCTTGCACGGCGAATAACCGACGGTGAAGGTGGTACCATCAAGAAGGGATCGGATCTTTTCGCGATTCCGATTCAACAGCTCGGTCACCTCGTATTTGGTACGGTATCCTGTCATATCGGTAGATGGATTTTGTTGACAAAAAACGGATCAAGGTGCAAATAGGAAAATAAAAATAAGTAGAGGAGTTTGCGTACCTTGAGGCGATTCCACTGCTATGTGAACGTTCAGATCGGAGGCGTTCTCGCCGAGGCTGAAGATCTTCAATGTGTCGCCCACGTCGATCTCCTCTTGCAGGACGTCCAACAGGGCACGATAATTCTGACTTAGAAAGTCTCTCGCGGTTAGCTTGGTGATCTGCAGGGTGACACTGTTCTCGATCGTGGTATTCGTGAACACTAGGAACTCGACGGTGACCTTGGACACCACGTTCGGATGACGGCCGTCGTTACCGGAAACGCTCAGGGAGTAACCGACTCCTGTAACACAGAACAGATAGTGATTATGATTTTACGGTCGTCGACGATGATATGGAAAAAAATCGGCGGTGATCATGGTAAAGAAATCGAACCTGGTGTGATCTTCTTCGTGTGAAGATCGCAGGCGGTTGGAATGCTAAGAATCCTAGGATTCGATCCTTGGAGTATCTTGCAGGAATAGGAACCAGTTACGTCCGGATCGTTTGGATGCACGTCCGCGATCTTTCCCAAGGGTATTTGCTCGTTGAACGAATGAACGATCACATGGACCGATCTGGGCGACGATGGACTGTCGTTCTGATCGGTCACGAGGACCGTTATCGTGTGCTCGTTCCTCATCCTCGGAACCCCCGAATCTTCCACTTCGATCTAAAGAGAGAGAGAGAGAGAGAGAGAGAAAAAAAAGTCCAGATTAAACATCCATCTGTATCCTTTGGGATCTTCTTGCATGTATTTTGAAAAAGTCATAGGTTTAGATGCACAACTAACCACAAGATCCAACTGAGGCATCGCTTCTCTGTCCAAGCTCCTAGTGGTCTTCAATACCCCAGTGTGTTTATCCAATGTAACCATGTCGCTCTGTCTGCCACCGACCAATCTATACGTGAACGGGGCACCATTGGGCGGTAGATCGGGATCGGTGGCGCTCAGCGTCATCACGATCGTCCCAGCTGGCTCGTTCTCGTTCACGTGTCCGATCAACTCAGGGGGATCGAATACAGGCCCATTATCGTTAATGTCCAACAGTTCAATATGCACCAAGGCGGTGCCAGTTTGGGGTGGTGACCCGGTATCGATCGCCCCTATGGTGAGATCGTAGGCTGGCACGGTTTCGCGGTCCAGTTGCTTCGCAGTCTCGATGTCCCCGGTCTGCGGATCGACCTTGAACGCCTGGCCCATGTTCCCGCCGATGATCGAGTAAGAGAACTGATTGTTCTGCGGCCTGATGTCCTTGTCCACCGCTCTTACGGTCAGAACACGGGTGCCGTGGCTTGCACCCTCCGAGACGGTAGCATCGTAGGCGGTCTGAAGGAACTCCGGTGGATCGTTACCGTCCTGGATCGAGACGATCACCTGAGCCTCGTCGGTGTCGTTGCCCCGAATCCCGCCACCGTTCTTCGTCATCACGGTCAACACCACGCGATTCTGTGTCTCGCGGTCCAGACGTCTAGAAACACGGATTATCCCAGTCTCGGAGCCAATGGAGAAGCCACGATCGTTGGACGAACCGACGAACAGATAGTACACTCGACCGTCCTCTCCTGCGTCCTGATCGGTTGCTTGGACCAGACCAACGGACGTGCCCACCTCAGCGCTCTCGGACACGTCCATATGGAAGACAGGCTGTACGAATTTTGGATAGTACTCGTTCACGCCTGTTATGTGGACCTGAACGGTCGTGAACCCGACCATTTGCGGATTCGAGTCCGGATTCGCCGCGACTATGTCCAAGGTGTACTCGTTTGCTTCCTCGTAGTCGAAGCTCATCAGAGAGGCGATCTCGCCGGTGTCCTCGCGTATACGGAAATGGTCCTTTCCGGTACCGCCCAGGATTTTGTATTGCACCACCGCGTATTTCGGTGAATCGATGTCTTTCGCGACCACCTGAAACATCATTTTGGGTTAACAAAATCCTAAACACGGAGGGAAAAAAGTGATCGATTTGGCATGGAATGGCCTGAGTATATCTACACTTAAATCTACTGTATGTACGGGAATGGAAGACCAATTGATTATGTTGAGATGTTTCTCCCAGTCGTCTGGGTTTTTGGTAATGGCTGCTAGGTGGTGAGTTTCCTCGCTAGCGGTTATTAGAGCCTGTTGGCTACTTAAGGGGCTCCAGGGGAACAACCCAGGCGTCTGGGGTAGGGGTCGTCTACCGTCAGCCCCACTGACGAGCCTTGGTAGACGATTCCCGAGACGAAACGCATTGTTTTGAACCGCTTACATATTTACCTTGTAAACGAAGCTGTCCGGCGGCGAATTCTCGGGCAGGAACGCCTCGTACACGGTCTGATTGAACGTTGGTGGATTATCATTTATATCCGACACGTTCACTGTGAGCGTCGCGACCGCCTGTTTCGACTCGAAGCCAAGATCGGTCGCGGTGATGTTCAATCTATACTCCTGGATCAGATCGTAGTCAAGAGGTTCGAGTATCGTGACTGCCCCCGTGATCGAATGCACGAAGAACTCATTCCTCTCGTTTCCAGCGGATATCTTGTATCTTATCATACCGTTCGGGCCAGCGTCGTTATCGGTAGCACTCACCGTCAATATGGTGGTGTTCACTGGTTCATTTTCTGGCACTCTAACCTGATAGCTAACCGCGGCGAATGTTGGAGAGTGTTGGTTCTCGCCAGAGATCACCAGTGTCAACGAGACCTCGTCCTTCTGCGGCGGTACACCTTTGTCGATCGCTCTGGCCCTAAGTGAAAACGTTGTTCCAACCGCTACATTGCTCAAGCTTCTTCGAACGTATACCCAACCGGTTTTCTCGTCGATGGAGAAGTAGTCGGTACCGTTTACCAGATGATAGCTGATCACGGCGTTCACACCGAAGTCAGCATCGTCTTTGGCCACCAATTGGATCACACGTTTGCCAATTCCGTAGTTTTCAGGCACTGGGTATAGGTAGGATCTTTGCTCGAACTTTGGCGCGTTGTTGTTAGCAGGACGGTGGGTGTGCTTGTATCGTAATGTCTTCTTGCTGAACACGTCACCAGTCGCTGGATCAACGGTGAACAGATCGGATGGTTGCAATAGGCTGTAGGATATGACAGAATTGGGTCCTTGTTTGTCCCGGTCGATCGCTGTCACTTGGCCAACGTGGGCGACAGGCGGTTGCAGTTCTGGGAAATGGAAGTGGTAGGATTCCTCGTCGAATTCCGGCGCGTTGTCGTTTTGATCCTGAATGGTTATCGTGAGGGCGGTTGCCGATAGCCAGGCACCGTCTGCTGCCACCAGCTACGGTAAAACAATCGAAACGGATTAATGTTGTGATCGAAATAATATCTACCTAATAGTACATTGTGGGTTTTATGGATTTAATAGCCTGTACAGGGCTAACTTTTGTTGGATGCAACGAGTTCTGCTGTTTTATTCTGAACAGAATAGATTAATAGTGGCGTCACAATTGATGGATAACATATAACTTGCTATATAATACGAAAAATGTTACGTAACATTATGTTATACAACGTTTTTCTTTCTGTTCTTCTAACAAGTTTTATAACTTCGCCGTATAACGTATTATGTTCTCTGAATACCAACCTTTAACAAGTATTCGTCTTGTTCCTCTCGGTCCAAGTGCCCGACCACGGTCACGTTCCCGCTCAACGCGTCTAGAGAGAACTTCATTCCCGGATTGTCGGTGAACGTGTACGTCACATTGGCGTTCGAGCCGATGTCTGGATCGCTGCTGGTAATTCGTATAACGAATGTACCGATCTCTGCGTTCTCCGTTACGTTCACGCCGAACAGTCGCGTGAAATGCGGAGGATTGTCGTTCTTATCCAAAACGGTGACCAATACGGTGGCCGTACCCGTTAACGGGGGCTGGCCCTGGTCCCTGGCCTCCACCGCCAGCTCGTACGACGCGATCTGAAGAACGATTCGGTAACAATTAACACATTATTCATCCTTGATCTTATTCTCCGCAGGATGTAAAACCCGTTGTCTTACGATTTCTTTTAACGTCTGCAGTCTCCAGAATTATTTTACTGTTTAACACCAGAACTACAAAGTGACTAATTTCTTCACTTTCATATGGTAATAAAAGGTGCAAAATATCTGACAAAACGTATTGTCATAACATTTTAATCGTCGTTGTAAGAGTGTATTGACAAGTCATTTAGACTTGTTTGATAGTTTTAGTGTTAATAATCTCCCAGGAACCAAAAGAATTCCAGATTTATCCAGGGTGTGCATTTACTTCAAAAATTAAATATTGATTACCGTAAATTGATATTTTACTTCGAATTAAAGAAAATAATATTTTTTAGTTAATCGAATCTATTCAGAGTTGTCACACGTCGATATTTGAATCGTTGCTCACCTCTTCGCGATCCAATTTCGCGTTCGTGCTGATTTCCCCGGTGTCCGAATCGATGACGAACGTCTCCGCGAAATCGTTCACCAGATAATACGAGACCTGACCGTTCTCGCCTGAGTCGCGATCCCGCGCGAAAACTTTGCCGACAAACAACGGCGGATACTCGTCCTCTGGTACCGTCGCGTTGTAGATCGACGCTTCCATGATCGGCGCGTTGTCGTTCGCGTCGGTTACGTTTATCAGCAGCTGAACGACGCTTCTTAACGCTGGTGTGTCCGAGTCACGGACTTCTATCCAGGCCTCGTAGTACGGTGCGGTCTCGTAGTCAAATCCCGACGCAACCAACACCTGGGTGAAAAAAAAATATAAACGTTAACCCTTAGAGTATGGTGCCAAAGTCTTTCTTGACCGGAGTGTTTAACAGCCATATCTAACTCATCGATTGGTAAATATAATTTAAGCTAGAAGTTGGTGATATTTGGTCATATAAAAATAGGAGTTTTTTTTCTAATGATCCCTTCGAAAGTATATTTAAAAAGAAGGAAGCATGGGGTTTCAGACGGATCCAGACTCTTAAGATTTAGAGCGACGAAGTATGGCGTCTCTCCTGAATTCGTCCGTATAAAAACAATGAATCGCCCCGTATAAAAACATATAAATCATCCAGAAAACGAACCTCTCCGGTGTGAGGATCGATCTTGAGCGCGTCCCCGACGTTACCGCCGGCCATCCCGTAAACCAGATTGCTCGGCGCTCCATTCTTCGGCGTGGTGGCGCTCAGTTTCGTGATCATCCGTCCCTCGGGCACGTCCTCCGGCAACGTGAATCTCGTGTTTATACTCGGTTGAAAACTGGGGAACAATTGTCTCTCCCACAGGTGTATCACCAGATCGGCGGTGACCGATTGCGGTGTCGCGCCGCAATCGGATGCTTGAATCTGCAGCTGATAGGTGGTCTCGTCGTTCGCCAATGCCTGATTCGCCCTGATCACGCCGCTGTTCGCGTCGATCGTGAACCTCTCGGCGTCCATTCCCTGGAGACGATACACGATCCGCGAGTTCTCGCCGTCGTCGTCGTCCACCGCTTTCGCGCCGAACACGAAATCCCCTTTAACGGCAAGTGAACGAAAACAGAAAAAAAAAAGGAACACAGGTGTGTTTTAATGTTTACAGACACGTGTCTACTTTATTCTTGCCGTGGCGTTACTTAACACGCTGTACGAAGAACTCTGGATATTTCGTGAAAGGCGGCAGACCTCGATCGTGCGTACGTTTGATTTTTCGTTCGGACCAGGGACTTAAACCGGTATGATTTTGATACCGGTATTATGCCATCAAAGTTATACCGATATATTACCGAAAACCAAAATGAATACCGGTATTTTTTCGGTTCCTATGTATAAGGTTATACATATAGGGCAAACATAGAAAACAAAATTTTTCTCGCGATCCAAAGGTCACGCAAAGGCGTGCACACGACCGAATTGCTAGGCCTACGGAAACATTCTTTGGGAATGATTTTGTGCCTTCCTTACCTGGTTTGGTCGCGCCTGGCACGTACGCGGTGTATCGTGGACTAGAGAATCGTGGAGCGTTGTCGTTCACATCTGTTACGAAGATCGTCAAATTGACGGCGGAGGCTCGTGGTTCCGTTGGGCTGGAGTCCTGAGCGACCAACGTCAAATGATAGACGGAGGTTTGTTCACGATCCAGCGGTACCACTGTAAAGACCTCGCCAGTGTCCGGGTCCGCGGTGAAACGTTCCGAATTTTCACCCAGTAAACTATACCTACGTTGTAAATATGTCATATTTATCGAAGAATTCCAATGCAAGAGAATCGTATGTGGGCTTTCGAAGTTACTGGTTTTTAGAGCGTACACCAACCTAATTTTGGCGTTTAGACCCTCGTCCTTGTCCGTGGCGTGTGGTTTGGTCACCCAGGTACCGGAAGCTGAATTCTCGGTGACCATCGCCTTGTATTCCTGCCTGGTGAACTCCGGGCTGTGATCGTTAACGTCCAGCACCACGATCCGAATGATCCCCGCTCCAGTCAACGGCGGGGAACCTGCGGAACAGGTTCACTAATCGATCCGCTCTATGACCACACAAAATGTGTGTATCCCCCAATCGAAATAACATAAACAAAATGACGTCCTATTTCCAAAACGACAACGAAAACTAACGTTCAGTCGGTTATTAAAAGTGGTACATACGTATAAAGTTAACAGTCTGTGGATTATGGTCTGTGTGTTTAAGCGTTAACAATAACAAAAAATCGTAATTTCAATCTCCTTCCTATAGATACGAAAGAATTCAACGGAGAAGAGCTTTACTCTTAAATCGTATCTCAACAAATCGACAACAAAAGTTTTTCGACGCGCGAATAACACGATTATTCCTCGGATCATCAATCTTATCTTTGTCAAATAGAGAAACAACTGATCGGCAAAAGCGCAAACCTATTGAATTCATCGAGACGGCCAGGGTCATACAGCTTTCTGCCGTATGTGTATACATATGTACCCGCCTGGACGGTTACGGCGCAAACCGATCGTCTTTGGGCCCATTGTCGGACCCCACCCCACTCCCGTATCGTTCTAACGTTAAAGAAGACAAATTACAATTTCACCGAGGTATCTTCGCGCCGTCGAGTTAATTGCGGGGCCTGGCCTAAAACAGCCCCCATTATTCCGCCGTGTGGGGACCCACGATTTCTCTGATTGCGAGCAGGTTGGTTCTACATTGTACCCCACGGGCGTTTCCTGGGCTCTTTGGGCCACGCGCGCCTTATACAATATGTGCGTATATACATATATATGTATATATCGTTCAATCACGGGGACCACTCGCGGGGAGGGGCCACCAGTGGCCCCCCTCGACCAACAATTGCAAACGCACAATGGTGTGGTCCACCATAGGCGGCGCGTTCTCCCTGGTGGGCAATCCTTAAGAAATACATATATACCGTCGGCCGTGGCGTCGCACGACCGACGTATTCTCCTTGTTCGTCTGCTTAATCAACGGGGACAAGAGGCAACCAACCCCTGTCGCCCCCCCCCCACCATATTGCAGCGTTTCATTTTATTATTATTATTAGGTCCAGGATCGTATTGAGGGCCCCCACCGCCACGGGGCCCTATCAGGTGTTCCATTTCGCAGGGCCATTTCTCGGTAGGTATATTAGTCGGTGGAGGTAGTGGGAGGATTGGGAACGGAAGGTCCCGAAGAATAAGGGGATTTTCGAAATCGTGGGACCAAAAATGGGCGATTTTTTTGTGTTTCGTTTCATCTGCTATTTCGCGTATTAATTGTACCGAGTTATAAGCGAGTGATTGTGTAGTTTCTGGTTCGATCGAGCCTGCGGGAAAGTGTGTGCAGTGGTTAGTAAAATTTTATGCACGCCACTTTCTCTCTCTCTCTCTTTCTGTCTCTCGAGGATAATTACGCCAAACTGGGTAAACAAATGGGCCCGTCGTTTCGCTGAGTCTCCGTCCCATTTCTTCGCGGTGATTTACATTTATCGCGACTATAAGGAAGTTGTAACTATTTGGGTAAGCGCAGAATGGTCACGATTGCTTTTCTGCGGATGATACGATCGTGTCATGTTTGTTTTTTTTGTTGGGAACAGTAAACAACCGTCGTAATATATTATGCCCCGATGTTTATAAGGCTACACGGTAAATTGTTGGTTAGAACAAAAAATTGACACGATGTGTTGTATTGTTTCGCCTATTTGGACGACGGTGATTGGGTGATTTTGATAAGAAGAGCTTAGGTTGCCACTTGAAGGATACTGTATTTCATGATTAATGGCAAACTTTGTGCTTTGCATTTAAATAGAAAGGCATACAAGAATCATTATGCATCTCATGAAGTTTCAATTAATCCGTTCAGTGCAATCTTTTCGTATCTTGTACGAAGAATTTTGTTTTCATAAAATCGAGAGCCATTCACTTTAAGACTATTTAGAACATTACACATTTTGTTTATAAACAATGTGTTTGTGTACGATAAATAACGAATTTTCTGGAACCCAAACCCAAAGCCATTCACTTTAAGACTGTTTAGAACATACATTTTGTTTATAAACAATGTGTTTGTGTACGATAAATAACGAATTTTCTGGAACCCAAACCCCTCCGAACAGTTGCAACTGCTCCAACATCATTTCCATTACACATTTCTCATGTTGATGACATTCAACCGCCTATTGGTCTCGAAAATCGACCACGAAATCTCGAAATCAATTGTGATCTCGTCGAATCCCGCCAGAATTGGGTCCAACGATTGCGACAATGGGCCCCGAGTGTGCCCATAGTTAGCGCCTCTCCGGGGACACACGCGTTTTCGTACGGCTGAAACATACGATGCAACCGGGGCACCGTATACACCGCGCGACAGGCATAACGTACGAATAAAATAGGAATATAACGCGTGCGGGTGCGAGCAAGCGAGCGAGATAGCAAGTCCCAGGATCACGGAGTGCGGAGAAAGAGACTGTGGGGCACCTTCGGAGTCTCCAAAACGTCCAAGAAGCGAAAGCTGGCGCTGAACGACGAGCGGAGAGGAGAGGGCAGGAGGGCCCAGTAGGGTGACTAGGAGGGAAAGGGGCGAGGGAAGAAAGCGGGAACGAAGGGAAAACCATAGCAGGGGGGAGGGGGAGGAGAGTGCAGCGTCGAGGCAGAGGAAGGCATTTGAGAGCGATTATCATAATCGCGCGTCATAACTCTGCAGGCTTGTCTACCTCGGCGGGGACCGATTGGGCCATCGAGGCCCCGAGCTCCAGTAGGGGGAAGAAAGGAGGGAGGGAGAGTGGCGGGGGCGAAGGGGCACCCTCGAAAGGGGACTACCGGCTCCGTTCGTCCGTCCCGGGGGGAACGAACGATAAAAAGATTTCGACGAGGAACTGCCCACCGCTTAAAGAATCTCATCGAACAACCCACAAATTTATATCCAATTTGTATATTACCGCTCATTACTTAAACCCATCCCATATATCGTCCGTGTCTATTCCTTCTATTCGCGGGTTTGATGATAAGGGAGGGGAGGGGTGTGACATCTCGATGCTTCGTTCCGTCAGCCTGACAGGTCCTGTTGCTGTGAGATCGTTTCGTGGAAATCGGAGGCGTGTGAGAGTGATTTTTAACTGGTCTGGGGAGAGGGAGGAGGGGCGGGCTTTGGTGTGAAACTGTCGACTACACGGAGTGATTTATATCGCGGGTGGATCGATCCTCTGCGACGTGTTCGAGAATAATCGATGTATTCGCTGGATGCAGGCATGTGTACTGCTCGATATTCTCAAGGGAGGATTCTGAGGGACACTTCGGAACTGCGTGAAATAGTTTAATTGTAAGTTAACGGATGGTTGAGCTGTTTGTTGCATAGCGTCAGCCCTTAACACGGTATTCGGTAATCGAATATCACCTTACTAATTAGCCGATTCGCAGCGTAGATGGAGGCAGTTGCGTTTTTAATACAGTCTATTTCTTATTAACTCATCCTATATATTCCTAAGGGCAGCAGATCGTTCGTATACACATTCGTGTGCTTGTACAAACCACGTTCATCGTCGGTAGGTCTAGTGTGAAATACTGTCACCGTGACGCGTCCCTCGCTAGAATCAGTTTTTTCGTCTCGCGTCCCCCAACCGCTCTCTCCGAACGACCGTCGCTTCTCTTCTCTTCTCCGGTGTTTTTTTTTCTGTTTCCCCCGTCCCGAAAGTGCCAAACCCGACATAATTAAGTCCTTTGTCCGCGCTAATTCGCAACCAGTTTACACGGCGACTCAGGTCGAGGGATCAGCGGTGAGCTGGCCGGAAAAATATTCACTGGACGGAGGAGCGCACTACTGGGCCTACCCTTTGAACGCCAGCCTTTGTCCGGCCCCAGGTATACACGTCTATTTAGCCCGTGTGGGCCCCGAAAGGTTCTTACACCGAGGAGAACCGCGATCTCTTTGTGTCCATTCGCCTCTTTACGAGCCTATTTTCCCCGTGGTATTGAATTTCTGCAATGATTTTTCGAAACCCCCTCCCCCATCCCCACTTAAGAGTGCCCGACGAGAGGCCAGTTATTCAATTCCGTTCAACGTTTTAACTTACCGGTGTCCATGGCCTCTAGAGTGTGGGTGTACTCGGGCACCAGCTCCCTGTCCAACGGTCGAAGCAAGAAAATGTCACCTGTGCTCGCGTTGATGCGAAACAAGTCGGTGTCGCCTTCTTTTAAGAAGTACCTCACTTGGTCGTTGTACGGCGGTGTGTCGGCGTCGTATGCTTTCACCTGTTCGAACAGAGAATTCGGGGGTGTGTGTGTGTTAACAGCCCTTAAGTGGAGAGAGAACGGAGATATCTGTCCGATTTGGATAATACTTTTGGTGTAAAATTTGACCTCAGAAAAATGGCCGTCGTTTGGCCATTTCCTTGTTAGTAATAATATGAAGAAAAAGAACACTCCTTTTTTGTTTTCTAATTGAGTTTAAAAATTGAAATTCTCGCCTGGTTTTACAGTGAAATATTCCAGAGTCTAGGGTGCGAGAATTCTTTCCCCGTTTAGTACGTTGACAGCCGCAGTGAAAAAGGTCGTACGTGACCAGACACACTATATAATGTATGCGTTCAGTTAATAGAAGCTGTTGGTCTTATTTCAAATCATACTGCGGTACTAATTTCTCGAAAAAATGTCATAACTGTATTTCGATAATCCAACCCTCTTTGTAATGTACGTGTCATTCATATCGAAATCTCAGTGAAAAAGTGTTAATGGGATTAAGTCACTTCACACAGGGCAAAAGATCTTTCGATCTGCTCTAACGTATTCTTTCTTCTTGCTCTCTTTGGGTCACTGATTTTTAATCTATCAGAAGTCTTCCATCATTTCTAGACTCTTTACAGCTATAGGATCACCAGATAGATGTTACGGTGGAACATATGACTTTGTATAGATACCTGTATCACGAATCCTCCGCCTGGTGGTACCATGTTCTCCATGACATGAGCCACATAAGGCGAGTCCAGGAACACAGGAGCGTTGTCGTTTATATCGAGAACGGTGATGGTCACCTGGGCGGTGTCACCCCTGACGGTTTCGCCGACCTCCGACGCGCAATCTTCCCCACGTATTGTCAGATGGTACCTGGACTTCCGTTCGAAGTTCAGATTCTTCGCCACCCTTATGACACCGCCGTCCTCCGATATGGTGAAATCACGATTGTCGTCACCCATCGCGATACTGTATCTCACCCTGCCGTTCGCCCCCTCGTCCCGATCTATCGCGGACACCTGAAATACCAAAGGACAACTATAGCACCGGAATTAACCCATTGATTCAAACATTTCATTCGGAATTTTGTTTTCCAATGAATTTACATTACTGAATTCTGTTTCTCATGTCGCAGCTATAAAAGAGGATTTCAACGATTCCCTTAACATCTTTTTCGTCGCTATTTCTTCTTCTAAATAGATCCTACGACGTTTTGAATTTCGAAGAAATTGTAATTAAATCAATATTTTTCAATAAGGATTGCCCAAAGTTCCATAAACATGACATTTTTTTACAACAAATTTATACCGATCCAAATATTCTTTTGATAGCATTTATATTCTATCTTATACACTTTTATAAATAGACTGGGTATGTTTCTGCAATTATTGATATTGGGACTAATTTATGGAAACTGAAGTCAAACAGAGATTTGTTTGTCTCATTAATGGTTCCGCAGTATTGCCATAAATGTATGAAATCCGCAGTCTATGCGATGTCTACTGCTTAGGACCTAAATGGGTTAATCGTGGCCACCTTTCGATCCCTTCGATTATCATATCCTTTTTCAGGGGATTGACACTTGTGGTCGTTCACACCTCCGCGAGGCAGTAAATCATCGAGACGAGCGTTTTGGGCTGGTCCCGTGTGTAGACACACACCGGTGCCGGAAGGTTAAGGGTCCGATTCACACCTATTCCTACGTCCACACGTCAAATATCACTCGTTGCTCCTCAAACAGACCAATTCACACCCCACCCGTCGTTCCGCGGTTCGCCTGTCCGTAAACGCGGAATGCGTTGGGAATGGAACGGGCGACGCTTAATTAGTCTGGCAACCACATCCACGGGAGCGTAACTTCGTATCAATTGGTCTGCTCACGAAAAGCTCGTTTTCACCTGGACATCTTTTAACGTGGTGGTGTTCGATGGTTTGTTTGCTGTTACGACGTGGTCGAGGATCGTTTTCGTGAATCGAGGTAGGTACGCCTGTTTTTTTCGTCTAATAGAACGAGGGCTGATGGGGAAGCATCGGATATCGTTATCGTACTATCTACAAGGTGTTAATGAAAATGTGACTTAACAGGGTGGATCCTATCAGGTAACCAAGAAAGTTCTAACAATATTTGTGTTCAGAAAAGTCATTAGGTACTTTTTCCCAACGATCTAGCAACTTTTCTATTCCTTTCTTTTGTATGAATGTTTTCCTCTCTGGTGTCACAAAAGTGTTTTTAGTCCCTTTCTCTTGACTTTGGAATCGTCGATTTCGTAGATCCAAGAAAAGATGGTAGTCTGAAGACGCGATCGTGACTGCATCAGTAAATGAACACGTACCAGTGAACGAACATTACATACAAAAACGAGTAAATTAAATTGTTAAAATAAGCAAATGATTGAATATTGATTTGTTTCCAATTCCTTGTTTCATATTCAAACAATTAGAAATGTCCATAGGCTATAAATGCATAAAATCCGCAGTCTACTAATGAGCATTACATTCGTACGGTATACGAACCTGAAGAACACTGGCTCCGATGCTGGCGTTCTCGGCGACGGTGTCCGAGTACTGTCGCGGATCGAACACCGGCGAGTTGTCGTTCTCGTCGAGCACCGTGACAGTGACCGTCGTCGAGGACGATCTCGGCGGTTCACCGCGGTCCTTCGCGGTCACCTCCAACGTGTAGTTCGACCTTAATTCCCGATCCAGTGAACCAGATACCCGCAACAGGCCGTCGACGGTGCCCACGGTGAAGGGGAGGCTCGTGTCCTCCAGGGAGTACTCGACGTAACCGTTCCGTCCTTCGTCCCTGTCCACGGCCTTAATGGCCATCACCACCGTGTTGCTCGGCGCGTTCTCTATTATCGAAATCTTCGTCGGCGATATGAACTCCGGGGACATGTCGTTCACGTCCAGCAACACCACGGTCACCTGTGTGTACGCGACAATTTCATCGTTTCCGTCTAGGTATGTGACTGAATTTTCTATGGAGTAGGAAGGGATTTCTATTTGTCTGTCGGAATGGGGTTGCGGGGGATTTTTTCCATGCATGTTTCGGACTAGATATAGATATATTAGAGAGAATCGAATATATCGATTTTGTTTGGGAAAAGAATCGACGGATCATTTTCCGACTTTTTATTCGAATTAAAATTGTGCTCAACTCGGTCTGCAGGTAACGATTAAGTAACATATTTCTTCACATGAGCGCCCGAAACTAACTGACAGGATAGGTTAGAAAAAAAAAGGTTCGAGTCCATTACACAGATCAATCTCGTACATCCTAGACGAATGTATCCCCCTCCCGCCCCTGACATCAGATGTAACCGATATCACCCGAACGAAATCTTCGATGTTACATTATAAACCTGTTCGTGGCAAGACTAATCTCGACGTGGAGATCACAGTGTCGTCGTCCCGATCTAAATAAACGTCCCACATTTCGATTGTCTCTCGGTAACGGTAAGGATGAACATGTGTGTGTGTGTATGTGTGCTCGTGTTTGACGTTCTCAGAGATCGGTTATTGTGAACGTACCTGCACGGTGGAGGACAATGGCCGGGCCGGTGGCAGAGGACTGTCGGTCGCGCTCAATACCAAATTGTACAGCGGCTTCTGTTCCCGGTCGAGTGGCCGTCGCGTGAAAAGGGTGCCGTTCGTCGCCACACCAAAGTCACCATTCTCGTCACCGCCGGCGACAGCGTAAATTACTCGGCCGTTATCGCCCGAGTCGAGGTCCTGGGCGGCCACCGTTAGTATGGCAGTGCCAATCGTCGTGTTCTCAACGATATCCGTGGCGTGCGGTCCCGCCTCGAATATCGGCGCGTTGTCGTTCAAATCCACCACGTTGCAATAGACGGTCACCGTCGAGGAAAGTGCCGGTACACCGCCGTCCGTCGCCTGGACCACCAGAATGTAGTGCTGCACCTGCGAACCGGGTGGGTAAGACGATTTTAATATCGGGCTTGTTGAGTAGTAATGATGATACTATGTTTGAATCGGGGATTTCTACCGAAACGTAAAATATCGGTATTATACCGGTATTTTCGGTTGTACCTTCGCTCTGTACAACCCTAGACAAGCTCTAACTTGTGTCCATTTGACGAAATTTTTCGTGACTTTTATTTCAAAGAATTTGCAAATTCAACTACTTATTTGTTCATTGTATTAATTTTTTTACCGCTCGTGTCAATTTGATACCGAGGAACAAATTAAATTGGGAAAACGAGAGACGGATGAGGGTTAATCGTCCGGAAGATCGTAATTGGCCTATACACCGCATAGGGTTTCCAAACGTGTAGTAAGAAAAAAAAACTAGAACTATTGGAAATTCGACTCGTTCCGGGGGGGCGGGGGGGAGAACAGTTCTCTACCGGGCGATGATATTTCACGGAAACCCCGTCTGTTGCTCTTGGTAACTTCCGCCAGTGTCGGATTCTCCGACATGCGATCGAGCCATTTTTCGCACTACGATGGCGGGGACTAATAGGATAAACGCACCAATGAATGAACACTTAAGAAATGTTGTGACTACTAAAGTCGAATTTTAAATGATAATAATATTAATAAATATTTATCACACGAAAATTAGATTGGATAAACTTCCGAAAAGCACCCAAACGGAAGCTACGAGCTTCGTGGAACAGCAACACGCGTGTGTCGTTTCTCCGTTTCCGATGCTCACGAATTCTGTCTCCATCGAAAACGCGGAACGCGTTTCGCCAGTCCCTTGTAATGATCCCCCGGGCCTCTGTATCTGGGAAACGTATTACGATGATGAAGGGTTCTATAAACGGAACCTCCTCTCTCTTTCTACGCAGGACGCGCCTCCTCACGTCTCCCGTGGCTCTTCCTGTTGGCCCTCTCCGAACGAAACGCGACCGAACCGATACGCCTGCGTCGTATATTAGAGGAACCACTGTTATACGGCGGAACCATAAAATATACGGGAGTGCCGTCGTGTGGCTCGAGAGGGTACCATTCTCGTCGGCCGTTTCTCTCCCCAAAATACCGGGGAGTTGAACGAACACTGATTACGGTATTAACATTTAATATCCTTGGAGTTCGAATCGTGGGGAGAAACGGGATGGCTGAACCTTTTCGACGCAACTGGACCACATTAGCTTGCAGTTTACTTCCATTAGGTGTGCCAATAAGTCAGATCAGTGCAAAAGTTTTACCCTAGAAGACGCGATTGTTAATAATTTCAATTACAATATAGTAAAAATTACAATGAAATACATTGTATGATTCTTTTAGAATATACCACGTATTTTCGACAAGAAATTTTCATTCTAATACATAAATTTTTAGAGTATTATCTAGTCTATTGAATTTATATAATTAAATTGTATTTATTAAATTTACAGTTTATCACCGAGTGGGATTGATGTACCAGTTTCTCTAGGTGTACCTATCTCATTAATGTTTCTTCGCGGTGTCTGTAACGTTTATTAACTGTCATTTTTTTATTTTTCTGAATCGCGACAGTAATAAATGTTTCCATGGGATATCCAGGAAGAATCGAGTGGGGACCAGCATTTTGTACAAAATTTGTGTACCTAAGAGTTAAGGGTCGATCTTAGTAAAGTTTTGCAAGCATTCCACAGTCGTTATCTACGCTCCCGACGAAGTTTCCGTGACAACGATTACGTAACGAGCGACCAATTAAAAATGACAAGAACGTGGGTCGGCCAGACAATGGTGGGTACCCGGAGAGTCGTTGACGAGACGCTATTGGCCCCCCGGTCGCAAGCGTGTGTATACCATATGTATGGCTTGTCCCCGTGGAACAGTACGCGTAGACAACTGGGGGGAGAAAAACCGCCATTAAAAGAACGTCTGTTGATCGATCTGTAGGTGTGTTAGCGCGCTAAACCCTAAATTCGAACGTTAGCCGTCTAGTCCAGTGAGCTAATATAATAGGTGCACGCTTGGGCCCAGGACTGTAGAGGCGTGTTCGGCGGTTATAATCGTTTGCCTCCGGGGCAGCAACGCCATTTCACTGTGTAGTAGCGATGGGCGATACAGTATCGATATTTTTTTAATATCGATACTTTTCAATTCAAATATCGATATTAAATGTGACAATATATTCCAGTATCGATGCATAACCCATAAACATCGAAATTTCGATAGAATAGATTCCGGATTTGCTATAAAGTGACACAGGTTGAAAGGAAAATGAACCAACCCCAAACTTCCCACATAAACCGTGTTATCTGAGAGTCTGCTTTAGTAAATATCTGCTTGAATGAATGGTTTAATTTCATTTCTGGTTTGTGTATTTCATGCTCGATTGATCAGAGTATGTATGTACCTACCTACATGTAATCTGCAATATTTTCGAGTAGTGAAGTTTTTAAAACCAATCAGTTAAATTGTCTACTGGTCTACTTTCGTTATTAATACATGATTTTAATTGCCGAATCGTGAAGTCAATAATTATTTTAGGAAATTTTACTGACTTCAATTGAAATTATTATTGAACCGCCTGAAAATTCTAGGTTGGTCTCCTTGCAAGGAGTCTGTGAAAAGAACCCTGAACAAGTCAACGTCGATTTTTTCGGACCTGAACCCTTTCCTACCAGAGTACGCGACGCATATAATTTCTTCCCCGTTTCGTTCATTACGTGTCGTAACACCATTTTCTCTCTCTACAGATCAGGTTACCGTCCATTTGTAATTCTCGCGTGATTGCTTTCTAAAGGGTCGCGAGCCGAGTTATTCGAATAAAAACTGTTCGGATGTAAACCAAGCCCGTTTAGAGTATCATCGGAGGTATCGCCGATTTGGCGAATAACGATCGGCATCTCATATTCGATCGACAGCCGCGGGGGACGTCAACGTGAAAGCGAGGAGACACACCGTGAAAGCAGCGGTGAGTTGTCGTGAAAAATGGCGTTCGGGACACGCGATATACCCTTTACACTTTCTAAATACCGTTGTGCACCGAGGCCCCGATAAATCGGCGAACCGATTGTTTCTGCGCACGATGTGGTGGTGTATGCGTGTGCAGTACACTACGAACCTGCTCGTAATCGAGGCTCGCGGTCAGCGTGAACACGCCGGTGCTCGGGTTCAGTGAGAAAACGTCGTTGGCCCAGTCCGATATCAGTGTGTAGCTCAATTGGCTGTTCGGTCCGTCGGCGTCCGCGTCCGTCGCGACGACCTGACCGATCCTGCTGCCCCTTGGCATGTTCTCCGGCACGTCGAACGAGTATGCGGTACTCTGGAACGTCGGTGCGTTGTCGTTTGTATCCGTCACCTGGAAAACATATGAAATTTCGCCTTTAATAACTCTATTATTCGTATATTCTTTAATAGTGCCCCCCTCCCTCTCCCCGTTTAGCGTTCATGAGCACTGAGGGATTACCGACTACAGTAAATCGTCGATAAGTGTTCAAAAGCGTCTTGATTGGTTTTTGTTGGTGGGGATGACATCTGAACACTCAGCACCGAGGAATCTTCGAACACTCATCGGTGATTTACTGTACTATTTTCTTTAATCAGCACCTCTCGTTACTGAATAAGGTTGAGAGGTAGAGTGAGAAATATTGAGTGCTACAGTGAGATACGAGGAAAGCTTTTATTTAATATAAAGGTACGTCTTCACGTGACTGTAAAAAGTCATATGGCTTTTGTTGTCATGATACCTAATGTTCACGACAATAAAAGTCATAATAGTTATAGCGTCATTAACCCGTAAAAGTCACGGTTTACTGTCACGTGAAAACGTACCTTAAGCCCGATCGGTATGATGCAAGAGTGAGGCCCTATGGAATTTGGTGGGGATATACTTGGCTTACAACTATTAACTGGGCAAGAAATTCGACATTCAGCGGGCGCACCGCTGTGTTAAAATTTATTCCAATATATTTATAATTCTTCTGGACAGATCACTCGAACGAGATTATATTTGTAGGAGAAAAAAGAATCCTCCGGCCGATCTGGTTTATAATACCGAGAATCGAACCCGGTTCTTTCACTATTCGGGAGAGTGCCCTTACCGCTAAGCTACCCGACCGTCGACTATTCTGCCCTCTCCTAATTCATACAAGTGGACCGTGAAAGTTTATGGAAATTTACAATTTCAGACACGAATGTCTAAAAATTAAAATGGAACAGAATTAGGTATATATACTTATGTATTTTTACACATTTCGCCCACCCTCCAAAGGAAGGCTCCTGGATCCAGATAGGTCTAGACCCACCATTAGAATCCAAGAATTTTCGACTTAATTTACACAAAGCACGGCAGATGACGCGCGTGTATGGTTTACAGAAGGGAATTATACAATTCATCCGCTAACGAACATCCACAATAACGAGCCCCACGATTCCCAACACGGTATAATTCATCTTCCTCGAGAAGAAGGTGCGCCACTCATCAACGCGGGCACTGGAGAGAGGTGGCCGAGAGAGCAAAGACAAACAATTCGGAGCCCAGGCTCGGGTGCTGGTGCTTCCTGTTCCCTTTCAATTGTATTGTACTTAACGTCGTCCCCGAGTAAACACGTTTCAATCAAACCCCGACGACGGAGTGGCGGCGTCGGCGGTTTCGGTTCCGAGAGACATGCTGGTGAAATATCCTCGGGACCCCCTTTTCTCGTGCGCGCGAAGAAGAGTGTTTCGCGAGAGAGTCGTTGTTCGAGATGGGTTCGTACCACTCGGCACGGCTGGAGAGCAAAAGAGACGAACTTTCTACGCCTCCCCCTGCTCCCTAAGTTCGTCGTCGAAAATAGAGCGCCACGAATGTCGCGACCGGTCGTTTCGACGCGGAATCGCGCATTCCTTCTACCCGACCGTTTGCTCCCTCGACATACCATCGACGGTCGAGTTTTAGGCGGGATGGACGGGCGGACGATTGGATTTTTCGCGTGGATAGGTCCGCGAAGGGAATCCATGTATCCGTACCGTATCGTGCTTGTAGTGTTCGAGAGCCGTTCTTCTAAGCGGGTAGCCTCTCCCTGCCCCCGCGACCGTTGCGGATCTATGCGGGAGAAGGATGAGGAGGTGCGTGTCTGAACACATCCGCCTGGGCACCGCTCGGAAGTCGAGAGACGGTGTATATGTATATACGTCCGGTGAATAGGTCTCTCTCCTCTCCGTGCATCGCGTCGGGCACAAGGGATCGACACGCGGTGGCGGTGTATAAAAGAATAAAGCGGAGGTGGGCACGGTTTGATTAAGGAGGGTTCGGAGACGTTTGCAAAAAGTGACGGTTGGCCCCGAGACGCCGCTGGGATGACGAGAGGTAGGGAATCCGAAAGGAGAGTAGAGTGAGGAGGGCCACGATGACCAAGTAGAAGAAGAAAAAGAGGATGAAGAAGAAGAGGAGCAAGAGGTTGAGAGAGGATGGAGCTTTGAGGTGGGAGCAAGAAGAAGAACTCGTGTGTATGCCGTGCGAGAGGGAAGGAGAATCAGAGGACGAACGGGAGTAAGAAGTCGCGAGTAGAGAGGTTGAGAAAAGGAGACGGAAGAGGATTGTTGGACGTGGGTAAGAGGTAAGTGGGGGAGGAGGTCGGGCGGAGAGAAGAAACTCTTCTAAGGTCGAGAGGGGGAGAGAGAGGGAGTGAGACAGCGGGGATATAAGGGGCCAGAAGGGGCAGATTCCGCAACTGTCGGCAGCGGGCCTCTTTCATGGGGCCCCAAAGAGCCCGAGCTATGATCGGGACTGGCATTCCTTTTGCCTTTAAGAGACCCCGGATAGAATAGCGGATGGCGGGCAGCCGACGGGAGAGCCTTAAAAGAATTCCAGCCATTACACGTCATAAGGATAATTTTTGCGATTGTCTCCGAAGGATCCGCCACACGGTGAACCGGTGGCCGAAGGAGGGGGGAGGTGGGCCCTGGACTGGACCGGGGCACAGCCTCCGCGCTACCGTGAATCGCCCTCCACCTTCGTTAAACGACCGGCCGCCCCGTCCTCGGCGGTTTTTTTTTATCGCCGCGAATCGTTTCGGCTCGCCAGCATAATGAATTATAAGGCGGGACGCGCGGAAACCGCCGTGATTTGACGTTACCCGCTCCCGACAACGATCGATCCCACCGCCCCCTCCCTAATAGAGAATTCAATTTTCACTGGACAACGATTCTAATCTTTCGCAGGACTGAATGGGGGGGTGGGGAGAGACAGTTGCGACCTGTTACGTTACGGCTGATGCAGCTATTGTATCGAAATTCGATATTTATGGGTTAAGTATCGATACTGGAATATATATGTATTGACACATTAAATGTCGTTACAAAATATCGATATTTGAATTAAAAAGTATCCATATTCGAAATATCGATACTACAGTAAATCCTGGATGTCTGTTCGGTAGGCTCCTTGGCACTGACAAGGAGAGATCCCCAGGTCTAACGCTGACTTTATAATGGGGTTTAGCACAGTGATAAAGTTTGGAATTACGATGCCAATGAGATTTGTTTCAGCCGCATATGGCCATTAATTTATGAAAGATTTAATGTTCAATGTCGAAGAGCCTCCAAACACTCATCAAGGATTTACTGTATGTATAGTATATCGTCCATCACTAATGCATACCTAATTGCTATCGCCTCGACTTGTCTAACGGAGATGCCAACTGTCGAACAATGGGACCGCCTCACGTTTCTTCCCGACATCGATTTGTCATAATTGTTAATTGATACGGTAATAATCGGCAGTGATAATATCGAATATAACGGGTACGACCGGATCGTAAAGGCCGTTAGATAACGAACAGTAGCTATACGGCTGTAATTGCAGGTTACTCCAGCGAATCGAACAACGGGACTCGAAAGTTGTACTTACTTGACCGTGATCGATACAGAAAAATCTGCGTGTATAACCGTTTTCTTACCGCGTGATTCTCTACCGCGTCAGTTTGGAGAAGAATTTTGCGGTAAAAAAGTGCTCCCCTAACACGGTGAATTCACCTCGTTAACCGGTGGCGAAAGACGTTGTATAGATAGAGAGAGGCTATAAATATCGTATCGAGGGATTCGAGGCAAAGAAGTCTACCAACGTTCGAGTTGGTTTTGTCGTAATCCCCGGGATAGGTGACGCCAAGGTAGAGTGGGTGGGAGGGGAGAGCAGTCGGTTTCTAGGCGTAAGGCTTTCGCGAACACGCGTTTGATATACAGTATGTTTGGTTTAAGTGTATACACGCTATTATTTCCCTAGCTATTGGAAATATGAAAAAAAGGATTCATATAAAAGTTGTTTGATTTTAGGGAGCTAATTTAATAGAATTTTTGAATTTTTCTTTAACTGTCATTTACAGAGAACAAAAATTGCACTAAGTTTTCGCCATGAAATCAAGCAACTTTTATGATGAAATATTTTTTTGCTTTTTCAATATTTAGAGAAATAATAGGGACACGAACTATGGGATGAAGAAAACGTTATACCTCGACGGTCAACGTGACGTCGGTGTGCTGCAATCCATCGTCTGCACGAACTCTCAGGACATACTTTTCCCTGGCTTCTCTGTCGAGCGCCTCTGAGAGCGTCAGTTGCCCGGTGCTCGGATGAAGCCTGAACTGTTGCTGCTGTTGGCCCTGTTCGGTATCGTTTAGTGGCTCGTGGCTCGACGACGTGACGCCGCCGCCGCCAGGACGATGATTCGGCACCAGGGTGTAAGTCAGCGTGCCGATCGTGTCCGGATCGAACGCTTTTAGGACCGTGACAACGGTGCTCGGGGGCGCCTCCTCGGAGATTTTGAATTTCCAGGTGCCGGTCCCCCACGTCGGTGCCACGTCATTCTTGTCGAGGACCGTCACTCGAACCTGCAATTTAAACGTTCCCCTGTTAGACACGCACACACATCGCCGAAACACTACGATCGGGGACCTTCTGGAAAATCCGAACCCCCGGTTTGACGGTATTAGCGTCCGAACTGATACGTATCGAGGATGTCCAAAGAGTTCGATAGTATACATACTCGATGAGAAGTATCGAAAGGTATCATGATTTTAGGGACAGGTATTTCTCGACTTACGACGGGGTTTCATTTCGGATAATAACATTTAAAGAATTAACGTTATTACATAATTATTTAAACAAATAGCATTTATTTTTATTTACAGTACATATATATGTATACATATACGTTATGTATTTATTCATTACGTATTTTATATATTAAATTTAGCTTATGTAGCTATTAAAGAAATACAGTTAAATTCGTAAAATTGTCACTTCATGCAGGTGGCTTTGATAATTTTTAATCGTTGACTGTAAGAATTGAAATGTAACGAAACAAACGAAGATCGAAATAGAGAAACAGAATGAATTAGGCTACAGAATGAAATTAAAAATCGATCGCACTCGCGACAATCGGTGAATAGAGAATGATGAATCGTGACAATAGAAAGAAAGATGCTCAGACGTATTGGTTTTCTCGATCGCCAGGATATAATTATGCGCAATCAATATAAATCTACGGGGGCCCCACGTTGTTGCGGCTGAAGTCACGGTATGCATGCGAAGAATCGTGAGAAAGTTTCTTTTTTCGATCCCGACTTGTGCACGTCTCATTTCATTAAATTCTCAGTCACGTCACCCGCCGGCCCCCAAGGTTTATGTGACTACCAGAAACGGACTGTATCGAAACGCTCGAGGTAGCAGTAGAACTGTATTGGAAAACCATCTTATACTCATGATTTCGACCATATCGTCCCCAAAAACGGTTCTTTACATGGAACAAGTTAATTTACTAATAAGCCTTGTATAGAATTTAAGTAGATCCAAGAACGGAGATCCTATTCTACAAATTGAAATTTCCACATCGGTCAGTATCAAACAGATTTCCAAGCATCTTACAACACAGGGTGTTCGAAAAAAAAAACAATTTTTTCAGGAATTTCAAGGTCTTCGAATAGGTCGAGTATTCAATTGGAATCGATATATTCGAAGACAGTGCTGGCTGATCAGTGAAACGATGAGATATTCTATTTTCTCCAACTCGTGAACGATGAAAAATAAGTAACGATTTTCGGGGGACCTTACATAATCACTCGGGCAAAAACGCATCGATCTTCCTAGTAATTAGACGGGGTTCGAGAGTCAGTGATAAAGCACGCGTCATCGATTATGTATTCCCGCTGCTCGGAACCGCTTAGGCGTGCCCGCTTATACGTAAGTACATTATGTACATACACGGCCGACAAATAACGAAACAATGCTCGTTTCATCCCGCGAGATGGGGAACACGGTTACCAAACGTCACGGGCAACACTGTACGAGAATTTGACTTTTTAATTATTCCCGCGACGTTGCTCCTCGAATTGGTCCCTGCGGGAGCACTTCCAGGACCGAGATACATACCGATTAATCATATGAGGAGCGTGGTCGTTTTCGGTTTCTTTCTTTTTCATTAACAGTTCGATCGTACACGGAACACGCTGTTCCTCTCTGTTACCCAGAACTTAATGTACTTAAATGAAAGTTATAAGTAGTTAAATGGACGAATTTTTATCAGTTTTAGAGATCCCCTTCGATGACGTCTCATTCGCTATTAATTTGCTCAACAGCTTTATGAAAGTAGGGTAAATGTGCTAATTACTGCCACTTTATTTATTTTAATTAATAAAAACGTAACGTACAAAGAATTGCGTACGAAAAATTGTACAACTAATATTGTACAACTAATAATTATGAAGAAGAAATGCACAAGATACCAAAAGATGCGGTAAGCGGGTTAAATTTCGATTCTGGACCAGTTTGCGCGTCCATGTTGTCCTTGTGGATGATTTCACCAAACCACCAAACATTTTACGTTTAAATCACGCTTTCCTCTCGTGTAGCTACATACAGAGCCGCAAGAAAATTGGATGTCCTCGGGTGACGGTAGTCGGACTTTGAAGCTACGTGCGGTTACTCGTCCGATTAGCATAGCTCATAAATTATCCTAACTACACCGTACGGATCAACGGTAGGAAGGTGAATTCATCGTGTGTGTAGTTAGCCACGTAAGATAATAAAAGATAACAAACTGGCCGACCGATTCGAATACGTTCGAGCGTCAGTCGTTTACCAGATCCGGTCTCGATTATCGATTTAGGAACGATCCAGCTACTGGGGGATCTATATTGGGTCAAGGAGGTACATACCTTCGGCACCGTGAAAAAAACGGGACTTTTTTTTCAAGAATTTTTCATAGTTTAAACTGCATTAGGTTTCATTTCGTAATTTAGATACATGTCTTCATAGTTTAGAACCTTCAGGTTTTTCGTATAAAAAGAAGTTCGCTAGTAGAATGTTTTTTTCCCAGACATCGAAGAAATAGACGACCAAGTATTCGGTTCCCAAAATGGCGTCCCGATGATATACCACGGCCGATGCTGCGAACGCGATTGCAGCGCTCGAAGAATCTCCGTGAAATACATACCAAAGCGACGCCACCAGGTGAAATTTATGCAAAGTCGAACCGGTGGAGGCCTGATCCGTAGGAAGCCGGAGCGTTGTAGTTAATTGCGTTTTCTAGCTTCGACAGCTTAAGCCGTAACGGCGCGTCGTATCCTAAGGCACGGTTCACACGATCATCTGCATGGGATAGGTACCCACAGAGCGTATCGTGGATCGTGTTAAAACTCGGTAACGTGTACCATCGACCACACGACGAAAATAAAAATTATACATACGAAATTTCGTGGCCGTCGAGCGAATCAGGGGCAGAGGGAATAAAGAATCGATCGTAACGTCGTGGAATTAAGAGTACTAGTAAAATAGAAGTTACATAGGCTATACCACTAACCGAGGGCTATTCATCCAACAGCCTGCACAATACACTCTTGTCGAGCCATTATACGACGTTCAATGTTAAAATATCGTGACAAATCGGGGCTAAATTCGGCGAAAAATCCTGACGTTCGTTCCAACTGGAAACACCTCGACCGGCATAAATTCCGATCCCCCGGCCGATCCCAAAAAGAGCCGACCCTGGATCTCCTCTCGGACGCGCACGCGTTCCCTCGAATCCCCTCAGCGGCTATGTTCAGCTATTTAAGAGACAGGACCGATCGAGCGCTGATCATTGAACGGGAACAGTCATCGAACTCTTTGCCCATCTTGTACGACGTCGTCCTCGTAACCGACGATCCCTCTTGTTACCAAGCCCCCGACAGAGTATCTCTCTCTTCGTCAGCTCTTCGCGACGTAGCGAGTTATCGAGCTGAAGATATCGTCCTACCATAGTCGTGTCGTCCAAGCCTATTATCGTCGACTCCTAACGAACCCGCGGAAAATGGGAAGAATCGCGCCACAGAAAGAGAGAGAGAGAGAGAGAGAGAGAGAGAGAGAGAGTAAGTTTCACGAAGAGGAATGTACCACAGGAACGACGACGACGACGACGGTCGCGTCATCGTCACGATCGGATGGAACAAGGGAGACGGCGAACGGCAACAATAAGCAGACAAATCAGTGCGGTCATATAGCTGTCTCGGGGGATAGAGAATATTTCCCTCTTCTTTGCTCTCCTCTCGCCGCTTTGGAATGGGTGCCTCGACCAGTGAAGAGAGAGAGAGAGAGAGAGAGAGGATCGAGGTATATGGGCGGTAAGAAACGCCCGGAGAGAGCATTCGGAGTGCAAGGAAAGATGGTATCTGCGTCAGCGCGGTCGGGGATCAGCGGATCGGATCGAGTCGCTCTCAGCGGGGGTTTCTTTGGGTCATGCACGAAGTGAGTCCCATTCTTCTGTTCCCCTCCCACCCCCACCCCCTGGTCTGCCCCACGCCCCCTCTCCGTCTCCCCCTCTCTACTCACTCTTTCTCACTTTACGGTCGCATAGCCTCGTGTCCCTCTCAGCATGGCAGGCTTCTTCTGTCTTTTCTCAGGCCCCGTGCTCCCTCTTGGGGTCCCCCGCGTGCCTACCGTCTTCCTTGTTCAACCCAGAAAGAGAGAGAGAGAGAAAGAGAACCGATGCACAGCGTCCACCTCGGTAACCCACCTCCCCCCCCCCCCCATTCGTCCTCCGCCTCCGCTGTTCGTTTCACCGAACGCGCGCACGGGGTCCTATGGGTTCTCTATGAGGGGTCGAACCACTGACATCGCCCGATTAATAACGTATCTTCGTGGGGGCCCCCATAGACCATGAGGACGTGGAGAGGCAGCACGACGACGAAGAAGAGCGGAGGGAGGAGGACTTTTAAACCTTACGGAATTCTGTGTGTATGTACCCACCGGGGACAATAAGATATATATCTACTAATAATTCCACGATGCCTGTCGCGGTGTTCGGTTCTCGGTCTTCTAGCCTCTTTTCTTTATTTTTCTTTTGCTTCTCCCTCCTCTCTATTTTTATGCTTCTCTGGTTCACCGGTCTTCGGGCGAGATAGAGATATTTAGTAAATGGAGGTGCATTAGCTCCGATCGGTCGCGTCGTCCTTCCCACCCCCTCCCCCATATCCCCTGGGTGGTTCTTCTATTTTCTGCCCGGGCGAGATTCGGTCCTCGCCCAGGTCTCACGTCTTCGTCGTCTTCTTCTTCTTCTTCTCGGGACTTGCTTTGTCCCGAAGACGGTTTTGACGGTTTTTTTTGTCAGTTTCTTTTTCTCGTTGACCATGGCGGTAGGATTTTTCAACGAAAAGTCTCTCTCGATGCCTCTGAAGCTGGAAGCTTTTATTCCGACACGGGTCGTTCCGCGAACAACAGCAGCGTTGGAGATCGTCTAGTAGGGAGACGAACACACGAAGGTGGAGGGACCCTGCGTCGAAGTTAATAACGTTCTCTCGCTACGAATGGTTTCCCATAGGGTTATAACACGGCGGCGACGGCGAAAGGGTATACG